TCGTGCTCGTCCACCCGGTGCTGGACTGGTTCGAGAGGCGGGGCGAGGACGCGGCCAGGGCGGGCGTGCATCCCGTCTCCGGGATGTACGAGTCGTACCTGGGGTACTTTTACGAGGGCTTCCCCGAGGCGATGAGGGATATCGCGCGAGGCAGCAGCGGGTCCGTGGTGCGGTGCAATTTTGACGCCGGCGAGCCGTGGGATGCTGAGAAGGTCGTGCGCGCCAATAAAATGTGGACGTCGGCGCAGTGGAACGAGGGGTGGCTGCGGCACGAGCAGCTGTTTTGGGAGACTGAGGCGCCGTTGCCGGAGTGGCCGGCGTTGCTGATGGAGAATATGATTGACTCCTTTTCTGGATGTAAGAAGAAGAGCTGGAGACGGCGTTGATGAGGCCGGTCCGTTTCGGAGTCTCTACATGGGACGGGGGCGGTGTCCGGGTCGCATTTTTCTGCTGAACGATGAAGGTATATCTTGGACTTTGAGTCTATATATATATTCATCTGGGATCTAAGGATTCTACGCCGCGGCTCAGCGTACAGCACACGGTCTGGATATGATTGTTGGCAAGACATCTCAGAGATGGTACAGATTTTACTTGCTATTTAGCTATAATATCCCCCTCCCGTCGCCAGTCTCGTCAGAACTCCTTCGCGGGAGATACGCTTGGCCACGATGCATCATGTTGCAACGCTTTCTCCAGCTCCCTTTTGGATGGATGTGCTGGAATCTTTTGGTGTCCGCCTAATTTGACATATCCTTCTGGGTGAGGCTCATGTGCTAGCTCGCCGAGTCCGTTCCGTTAGCCGGGGCGGGGCGGGGCGGTGCGATTGTATGGTGAGGCCGGGCTTCACAGGGTCTTCTACCTTGCTGTTTGTGCAGTTCCGTGTTGTACTTACGGGCCTCCGCTTGGGATCGAGAGACTTTGACGATTGCTGTTGTTGATACGGTGCGTCTGATGTAGCCAGCCGAGACGGTGTCGTCGGACTCGGGCTTCCCGGTCCCCCGTGTACCTTTGTTTTCCATCTGCGAGTTTGAGCCGCAAAAGTGAGTACAAAGTGGCTTGACGACGGCTGAGGACCAGGAGTCCCGCCTCGTGGCTTGTTTTGATGAGTTGATGCTTCACGAGGGCTGTGATAAGCTGGGCAAAGAAAAGAAAAAGAACACAACGAGAAGGAAAAGAGCAGAGAAAGGAAAGGGAAAAGGGGGCAGAGAGGGGAATGAGGAAGGGGTGGAAGAAGATAAGGTAGATACTACTGGAGACTTTGGCCCTTGGCGTGTTGTCTTTCCTGCTTCGCGGGAGACGTGTGTGTTTCTGACAGGAACGGTCCTGGTTTCTGGCCCTTGAAGTCCAGAAAGGCTACTGGGGAGAGGAACGAAAAGTGGCTGCTGACATATGTGTATGAGGTGAATTAGCTCGGTTGTGCTTGGGGCTGGACGTAGTCACAGATTGAAGCTGATCGCATATTACCCCGGTTCCATCTGTCGTCATCGAGTATACGTAGGTAGTTCAAGGAGATTGTCAGCCCTGCCAGCAGAGTTTGACTTCCAATGCATGGGCCCCATCCTCGAGAGCCGGCGGGATGGTCACCGAAATGCCAACCCAGGCAAAACCAAAAAAAGGCTTGCACAGAGTTCATCGCAAAGAACCCTCATCCGGCCCCTCTCTTCCTCTGACTCAACACACGGTTGGGCTTGACCATCGCGGTAGGAAGGGAACTCCAGAAAATGAACACCATCCGCGGATATCCAAAAAAAAAAAAAAAATTTGGTTGACAAAACTCGCAGCTCGGTACTCTCAGACGTCCGAGTTTTTTCCTAATGCGGTAGTCCTCATGACTAGCCAGCCGGAGAATCTGGCCCCACAACGCCCGATGATTCCGGGTCTCGGCGGGGCTGCGGTGGTGGGGCTGACGTTCCGAAAATTCGACAACTCCGCGGACCACCCCGTCCCCCGCGGCGCTCTCAACCACTAAGCCTCCCGCCCGCTTGCCCGCCTACCTGCCTGTCCACCTGGCTCGCCTTATGGAAGCCTGTTTCCGAATCCTTGCAAGCCATGTTTGTTTTACGCGCGCGTTGTGACGTTGACATCAATGTAGACCTGGCATGCAGCACCATGCTCTTCACCCCCTCCCCCCTGTAATACGTCGACCAACCGGGTTGTCCGTATTACACGCCTTGGGCTGACGTCGGGAAGTGTCGCTCACGATCAGACCACACTGCTCGTCGTCCACGACTCTGATGGAGAGGGTCGGGATGGATGGAGGGAGTATTGCTTACCACTCAAATGGAGACGAAAGACAGAAACAAGGAATACACCCAAGAAGTAGAATTTGGAATTGAATGAATCAACAAAATGGGACCCGTCAAACACCGTCAAGAACGCAGATATAAATACAAAAGGACACCGGCTCCCTAGAGAACTCCTCGTGTTCTACACGCAGACAGAATTACCTTGACTACTCAATGTTCTCGACCTCCTTGCCTCGTCTATCTTCAACAGCGATCAAGCTCCAGCGATTCTCTTCACGCCGCCTCCTCCACACCCAGAAAACAATGACGACGACTACGCCCCCGAGTTTCCCCTTCCAACGCGCCTCGGGCCTCGAACCGCCCGCAGAATACGCCCGCCTCCGCGCCACGGAACCCGTCTCGCAAGTGAAGCTCTTTGACGGCTCCCTCGCATGGCTCGTGACGAAATACAAAGACGTCTGCGCCGTCGCCACGGATACACGTCTCTCCAAGGTGCCATCTCTCCATCCTATATAGCCCTTCGTCCTTCCACTACCCCTTTTTCACACGTCAACGGGAGTATCAAGTATGTCCAAGTGAGCTAACACCACAACACAGGAACGCACCCGCGCCGGATTCCCCGAGCTCAGCGCCGGCGGGAAAGCGGCGGCCGCGAACAAGCCCACTTTCGTCGACATGGACGCGCCGGCGCATATGCAGCAGCGCGGCATGGTTGAGCCGCTTTTCGTGCGGGAGCACATCGCGTCCATGAAGCCGTATATCCAAAAGACTGTGGATAGTCTACTAGATAAAATGGTTGAGCAGGGGTGCGACGAGCCGGTTGACTTAATCGACAAGTTTGCCTTGCCTGTTCCATCATATGTAAGTGCTTTGGTTTACACCCAAGAGCAGTGAGATGAGAGTATCCAAAACGGACATGTTGATGCAGATACCTTGAGGCCCTGCTAACCACCCTTTCCAAGATTATTTACACCATCCTCGGCGTCCCGTTCGAGGACCTCGAATATCTCACCCAGCAGAATGCCATCCGCACGAACGGCAGCGGTACCGCGTCGCAAGCTCAGTCTGCAAACCAGTACGTCAAACTTTACATGTCCCCGCCGCCCTATTTCCCTACTCTCGTGCCTCGTTACCGATGATGACTGACACATTTTGACCAGAGAACTTCTCAACTACCTCGCAAAGCTAGTCGACCAACGCAACATTGAGCCCAAGGACGACCTCATTAGCAAGTTGGTCGTGGAGCAGCTCAGACCCGGTCACATTGAAAAATCGGACGCCGTGCAAATTGCCTTCTTGCTGCTCGTTGCTGGCAACGCGACGATGGTGAATATGATTGCGTTGGTGAGTCACCTGTGTCTTCTCGTCTTCCCGTCTTGACTCTTGAGTGTTTTTCATTCTTGGAGCAAACGGACCGCGTGTTTGGGGTCCACGATTCAACTGACATCCGGCACCCCAGGGCGTCATCGAACTCTTCCGGAACCCAGGTCAGCTCGCCCAACTCAAAGCCGACCCGTCGCTCGCCCCGGCCTTTGTCGAAGAGCTGTGCAGATACCACACCGGCTCCTCCATGGCGATGAAGCGGGTGGCCAAGGAAGACGTTATCCTCGGTGGCAAGGTACGTGCTATCTACTAACCACAATACCCTCGGTCAATCTCTTCACTTGTGCGTGTGGTTTTTTGTGAAGCGCCCTGGTCCGGACATGCTGACCGTTGACGTAGACCATCAAGGCGGGCGAGGGCATCATCGCCGCAAACCAATCCGGCAACCGAGACGAAGACGTCTTCCCCGACCCGGACGTCTTTGACATGCACCGGACCCCTGACCCGAACCACGCGCTGGGGTTCGGCTTCGGGCCGCACAGATGTATCGCCGAGCCGCTTGCGCGCGCAGAGCTCGAGACTGTCTTTGGTGAGCCTCTCTTTTCTCTTATGAGTGCCATTCATATCCTACAGGTCATGTTGGCCGTACATGTGACTTGAGCTTGGTGCATAGAAGCAAAACCTCACGTTTACGCGTCGTTCCCCACGTTCGCCCTCTTCCATGGGCCTCCTCCAGTTACACTGAGCTGACGAATCCCATCACAGCAACGCTCTTCCAGAAGCTCCCCAGCCTGAGAATCGCCGTGCCCATCCCGGATATCGAGTATACGCCCCTGCACAAGGATGTCGGGGTAGTCAAGTTACCGGTGGCATGGTGACCGGTGACGTGGACGGCAATCTTATTGGACGGAGTTCAAAGGGGAGGGGGTGGGGGGGGGCGTAGGTTAGACGGTGTTAAGACCACAAGCCGAAATCGCCGTCGATCAAGCCCTTGCATAGAAAGCTCGGTAGTTTGAAATATCTCATCACTTCTATTCTCTTCTCAGGAACTTAGCGAGAAACTCCTTCCATGTGAAATCGAGGTGAGAGCGGCGAGTATAAAAGCCAGGACATCAGACGACCGGGAGGGAGGGGGCAAAGCAAAGTTCACCAGTTCGCAAAGGCGCAGCACGATCCGGGTGCGCCGGTAAACCGCGGCAATAAACTGGCATCGACTACCGTCGTCCCAATGTTGAAGCTTGACGGAGCCGAATTCGGCGAGTTTGATTTTTGAGGTGAGTAATTGCAGGATATTTTGAGTTGCGAGCATGCCGTCGGGATGTTAAGCTGTGCTCTTTAAAAGGGGCTGTCTGACGCGAGGTGGAAATGGAGATTGAGGTCAGGTGTTGAAGCAATATCTCTTGATTACTACACTATTCTGCCCAAGATATGAACGAAATGCAAGTCGCAAACAGCCAAATCGTCGTGGGAGACAGGAGCAAGGCGGCTCCATGGTATTCCGTCGAGGCCCAAATCTCCGCCGAGGCACGCAAGATGCTCGAGGAGTACGCCGGCATCCCGCCAGACGAGGTCAGAGACCACGTCGTCGCCATGGTACATGTTCCCTTTCCTCTCCCTTTCGCTTGTTTATACCCCTCGACTACTCCATCCCAGCACAAGACAAGCTGGGATATGGCTTGATGCTAACATAATGCCATCCACAGCGCGACAAGATCTGGGAAGTCTTCCCCTACCCCTGCATCGGCGAATTCCACTTCCTCGACTTCAACCTCGCCCACCGCCCAGGCTACCCGCAACTCCTCGCCCGCCTCCAAGACAACCCATCCGCGCGCCACCTCGACATCGCCTGCTGCGTCGGCCAGGACCTCCGGCGCCTCGCCCACGACGGCGTCGCCTCGTCCAAGATCGTCGCCGTCGAGCTGGAGCAAGGGTACATCGACGCCGGGTACGAGCTCTTCCGCGACCGGGACCGTCTCGAGACGCGCTTCGTCAACGCAGACATGCTGGACGACGGGGACGCGAGGCTGAACGCCATGGAGGGGATGTTTGACACCGCGCACCTGGGTCTTTGTCTGCATCTGTGGACGCGGGAGCAGCAGATGGTTGTGCTGCGGCGGGTGATTCGATTGTTGAAGCAGGAGCCTGGGGTGATGATTGTGGGTCATGCTGCGGGTCATGCAGATGGGATTGAGTTGAAGGGAGTTTGGGATAAGCCTGCGTTGAGGCACAACTTGGAGACGTGGGAGAAGATGTGGGCTGAGTTGTCGGAGCAGACTGGGAGTAAGTGGAAGTTGAATACGGTCGTGTCTGAGCAGATTGGGACTCGGGGAATTGAGAGGCCCAGCTGGTGGGGGAGCGATATGAGATTTGTCGGCTTCGAGCTTACCAGAGAGTAGGTAGTTGACTCGAGTTTCAACAGGTAGAACAAACACGACGAACAAGACATATGGCACGTATTGCAGGGAGCGAGAGAACAGTGTCATGAAGCATTTCCTTTGCTAGCCTAGGGCCATGGCCCGATTCCCATAGATGAACATCATAAAGCCCAATCCGGTTCCCAAACCATGCCTGAAAGGAGAACTTTTTCATCCACTGCTCGTCATTGCAAACACCTGAAACACCGAGTACCCGAGTAGAGAAACAACTCTTTAGGCCTTGGGGGTGTTGGGGACGATCTTCTTGCCATCCTTGTTGTAGCGGACGCGGGGAGGGGGAGCGCGGTTGCGGCGGCCCACGACGGAACGGACACTGGGAAAGTAAGTCAGCATTGGGGGGTCTTTCACAAGGCCCAAAAACAACCGTCAGGTCGGCAATCGACCTCCCGCAAGAGGGGAAGGACGGCGTCGCCGAGGTGCAGGGCACGGGGGATATGGGAGCTTCGAGTAGCGCCAAGGTTCTTCTGTAGCGCCTGCGCGCCGCGGTCGTGGTGTGAACCAGACCGACGGGTTGCAGTCGTCGCTCCCGCGGACGAACGTACCGGACAATCTTGCCGTGAATGGCGCAAGAGACACAGTACTGCAGCTTCAGGTACATCTTGGGTACGGTGTACTCCGCGAAGACGGAGGCGTCAGAGATATCACCTGATACCTGTTAGTCTTTGGGACGTGTTGAGAAGAAGAGGGTGTAGGCATACGGATGGCAGCAGACTCGACCATGTTGCGGATGGTGAAGCGCTTGATCGCCTTATCCTTGGGCGTGCATCGCGAGCAGTTGCTGCAGCGGATGGGCTTGACGTGGCCACGGCCCTTCTTGTTGCGTCCGCTGTAGGAGGGGAAACCAAGTCAGTAATCGTGTTCCTTTAGGGGTATCATTGCGCATGTGTCCATCTGGAGCCTCAGTCGCCGGCGTCGTCGAGCAGGTTCATGATATCGGGACCCGTTGTCGACGGCCGGGACGTGAGGGTAGAGGCACGTGGGAAGCGCGGTGTATGGGGCGGATGAGGAGGGAATCTTCGTACTTGTTCTTTCTCTTCTTGACCATTTTGGCGACGTCTGGCTGTGTGTTAGTAGGTCCGTGAAGGAGAGAAAAAAGAGAAGAGGAGAAGGGGTATATCAATTGCGAGGAGACGTACTTGATCTTTTCTGGCTTGCTGAGTCAAAAAATCGCAATTGGTGGGTTCGACCAGGGCGCGAAATGGTTTTGACGTGCCTTGCTGCGAAGTGGTGGTGGGTGGAGGCTGCGTACGAGTGAGGGCTGGTCCAGGGCTGGAGAGTGCGGTACGGAAAAATGGTGCTTGTGGACCCACCTCTGGAAAAATCCCACTCTGGAATTTTAGGCGAGGATGCACTTTACGCGGGCAAGTCGCCTCAGGGCTGCAGTACGTATCGTATTTCGCACCACACATTCGATTTCCAGACTCTATGGTTGGCCAATCGCAGACCAGCAGGATCACGTGGTCTCGCTAGTTTTCCAGGTCTCGCAAACCCCCCCACCCGGTCCACCCAGCGCCTGCGCAGGACGGATTTACCGTGCGCTGCGACAGACGGCAGTCGTTTCCTTTTAATTTTCCCTCATCCCCAACTCGAACCCATCTGAGGATCTGCTTAGGAAGGCAATAGACATATTGTCGAGGTACGTCTGAAGATGCTTCTGCTCCCTCTTTGCTGGCCATGAGCCCGTTACACCTCTTCTTCTCCCTTCGTTTTCTGGCATTTCGTCTTTCGACGAGTTGTGGACTCTCTTTCCGCTGTCGCCTGCCACTCGACTCTCGCAAGGCGTAATCGCGAAATCGACAGCGTCTTTCGAGAGTTATCGAGGGGGCGCACTGGAAGGGGTCAGAGTCTTTTGGCAGGGTTCACCGGCATGCGAGCGAGCTCGTCGAGCCTGTAAAATCGCTTCGCCGAATGCTCAATCGCTGCCGCCACCCACCAAAGCCATCGACATCCAACTCTGCCGGAAACAAGGGGCGAAGAAGAGGAGCATCGAGGGAGACGGACAGCAATCTTTGTTATCCATCCAAACTTCGATGCATTTGATTTTAACATTCCGTGACAAGTAGGCAATCATGCAGATCTTCGTCAAGACCCTGACGGGCAAGACTATCACCCTTGAGGTGGAGTCGTCCGACACCATCGACAATGTCAAGTCCAAGATCCAGGACAAGGAGGGCATCCCCCCCGACCAGCAGCGCCTGATCTTCGCCGGAAAGCAGCTCGAGGACGGCCGCACCCTCTCCGACTACAACATCCAGAAGGAGTCCACCCTCCACCTGGTCCTGCGCCTGCGTGGTGGTATGGCCAAGAAGCGCAAGAAGAAGGTCTACACCACCCCCAAGAAGATCAAGCACAAGCGCAAGAAGACCAAGTTGGCTGTCCTCAAGTACTACAAGGTCGACTCTGACGGCAAGATCGAGCGCCTCCGCCGCGAGTGCCCCTCCGACACCGTATGTTTACCTCCAATATCTTGCACTGTCGTTTCAACACTAACTCGCTCCAGTGCGGTGCCGGTGTTTTCATGGCCGCCATGAACGACCGACAGTACTGCGGCCGCTGCCACCTCACCTACGTCTTCGACAAGAAGGAGTAAATTTTCTCTCTTGTTTCGCGGGCGCGAGGTTACGGAAAACAAAAAGCGACAATTCTGGGAGGATCGGTTCAGGGTTAGCATTCTAGTCGGCAGAAAGCCGCACACAAAACGGGGGCGTTGATGTACACATCACTGGCCGGCAATGACGATGCAATTTCATGACACTATGACCATCTCTCACTCCTTAACTCTCCACCATGATTTGTGACGTGACGTGACCCTGTGTATTTTGGCTCTCACAACTCTAGTTCTTTGGTGACTAGGTCTACCTAACCTACACCTCAACCTGCGAACCCATTCCGCAGATTGTCATACTTGGTCTCGGGATACGTCAGACAGTTATCCCGCCGCAGCAACCCATGCGGACCACCAAAGGTATGAACCACATTCCCAATCAACGACTCGTGCCCAGGCTTATCAGCACTGCTCTCCCACCACATGGCACCACCCAGACCCCATCCCCGAATATACTCAGCCTTCTTCCTCGCCATGTGCACCGTATCATACGTGACCATCTTCCTCCTCCCCGCATCATACGAGTAACTCGCACCCGTCTCCTCGTCATGATACTCCTGCGCGCCCGGCATCGGCAACACCTTGTAATCAAAGACGCCATTCTCCCAGCTCCCCTCCCCGACCCCAGAATACGGCGTGCCGGGCCCGTCCGTATTCTCAAACGCGCGGCCGTACAGCGGCATCCCTAGCACAATCTTGTCCGGGGACACACCGTGGGAGGTGTAGTGCGCCAGCGCCGCGGCGGTGCTGAACGGCGTCGAGCGCGGGTTCTGCCGGCAGGGCTGGAGGTTAGCCTGGTGGCCGGCGGTGGTGTCCCACGAGCCGGCGTAGTCGTAGGCCATGAGGTTCCAGAAGTCGAGGAGGGGGTCCATGGCGGGGAGGTTGAGCTTTTGGTAGTTTTGGGCGCCGGCGGGGCAGGCGACTGTCAGCTCGAAGTGGTACCACTCTGGCAGGGTCGAGGCGTAGTTGTCCATGGCGGAGCGGACGGCCTGGAGGAGGGCGACGAAGTCGGAGGCTTCGGAGGGGGTTTGGGGGTATTCCCAGTCAATGTCGATGCTGTCACGTTTGTTAGCAGGTTGGTTTACTTAGTTGGGGGTAGGATACCCGGGGTGGGACTGGTAAACGTACCCATCAAAGCCCAGGTTCTTGACGAGGTCGACGCAGCTGCGGGCAAAGGTATCGCGGCCCTGGGGCGTGCTGGCGGGGGCCTTGAAGTTGGACGAGTACGTCCAGCCGCCGACGGACAGGAGGATCTTGAGGTTGCGGTTGCGGCGCTTGAGGAGGTTGAGCTGCTTCATGCAGCCGTAGAGGTTTGTCCCGACGTCGTTCCAGCTGTCGCCCTCCCAGTGGATGTCCGTGTCGGCCCAGCCGTCGGTGAGGTGGACCTCGCCCGTGTCGGAGCGCACGTTGGCGAAGGCGTAGAGGATGTGGGTGAGGTTCTCGACGGGGAGGTCTTGGGGGCGGTGCTTGCGGGCGTAGATTGCCCTGGGAAGCGATGGTGTTAGTTACGTTTGCTTTGAGGGGAGTCCTCAAGAGAACTGCTGATGACGTACCAGTTGACAAAGTAGGCTACCGAGCGGAAGCCTTGGACTGGACCGCCGCCCATTGTGTCTGTGGTGTTTGATCTGAAAAGGGGGATATGTAGGCGTGTAAAGAGGTTCGTGTAGGTGTGTGTAAGGAAGATGGTGGTCAAGAGGACTATGGCAGAGGTGACGAGGGTTGTCCGAATTGCATACAGGACAGACGAGGTTCGTTGCCAAGATATTGACCGTAAAGGAAGGGATGTTTATAGATAACAGGTCGGCAGGAGGGAGGCAGACGGTTCTTATTGCTCGCTGGAGGTGTTTGTCACTGTTAGGTCAAGTCAGGTTTATGCAACGTAAGGCAAGGTAAGGTAGCTAAAGGGTAGCGGCAACGGTGATGCAGCTTGTCCGGGGACTTGGAACGAGTGGCCCCGCGTAGGACAACTCCAATGGCAATGGGCTTTAGGTCACAAATACGAGTGCGACACTGCCCCTCCTGGCCCCCCTCTATTCCAAGCTGTGCCTGTGCATCCCGGACTCTGTATGGATGCCGTGGGTGGTTGACCCCAATATGCGGCGCAATGCTGCGCGTTGTTACTGGAGCTTGGAGCTGGATGAGGCGCGAGTTGTCGTCAGCTCCCACAGCTGGCTCCCCTCCTGTGTGGCTTGAGCTGGCAAGTTGGACGTCACTCTGGCAAAGCCACGGTTTGTGGCTGGGCATGGACTAGTCTACATTTGTGCTGCACCTCTACGCCGGTAATAATAAGTACCTAATTTTAAGGTAACTTGGTTGGGTTCTCGCTTCGCCTTGAGCAGGCGGGTGATCTGCAAGAGCAAAGTACTTTCTTGCAGAGTGCGACGCTGAGAGACATCCGAGGGTTGCCTCCCATTCAAGCGCGTATTATGTAAGGGAGCAAGACAAGCGAGCTTAGGTAAGGATATCGCATAGACCCCGGCACCTCTGGATTCGCGCATGGGGGGATGGAGAGCACATGTCCAGGCCGTCCCCTCCCCCCGTTGAGCACCGGCACTTCCGCGCTGTGGTGGGCGGGAATGGGCTGCCAACGGGATGTCGGAGACGGTGACAGACCGCCTGTATCGTCATGGGATGGCCCCAAAGTGCGGATGGACGGTCGACATGGGACGAAAAAAAGTGTTGAGAGACCGAGCACCGACGATGGTTCTGGACCCTGGCGTAGGGTCTCTTGTTGTTTTGTTTTCAATTCGATGACTGTTGTCAATATAGTCATTCTTGAGATTTGCATATGAGAATGAGCAATGTTGCAATGTGAAGCCATCTTCTCTGTCTGTATTAATTGGTGATGATGAGAATAGTTAGACTACCTTCAGGTGCCGACATGCGTCCTCCAGCCCGTCGCGGACAGCGCGTGTCGGGGAATTGTTTCCATCAAGTCTCCGATCTCCTACACGTTCCGAATTGAGCGATTGTCGACAATGGCTACTTTTGCAGTACGAAAAGAACAGCCAATTCGTATCTTTTTCTTGTCACCCGGTAGTAGACCTGTGGATAATTAGGAGAGGTGAACAAAGAAAAGTCTTTCTCTCCCCAGCAACACCTCGCATAGGGGGTGATGAAGTACCAGTCATATAGACGCAGCTTCCTTCAAGATCCCAACAGGGTGGATCGCCAGAAAAGAACGGAAAAGGACAATACTGCCTTACCTAAGGCGCCAGTTGCAGACCACCCGCGTATTACCTGGTGCCGCCACTCGTCAACTCGCCTGTCTGTCACTGCCAGCAATTACTGCGATTTACTGCAGTACGCGGGATCCCAGGGTGTACTGGTGCGAATCAACCCCCCCATGTCTGGCCTTAAGGTACTGTAAAATTGATCTTACCCACTCTATCCGAAAATCCGCCTCTGCGCAAGCCACGGGGGAAATTGCTTCACAAGAAAAATCCCCCGACCGCCGCCCCGGCCGTCCACTGCCTATAAACTTTTTTTCCTCCAGACTTTCCGGCCTCCCGCCCTCCTCCCGACTTCTTCTTTTCCTACTTCTTCAATTCTGCATGCTCGACAGGTCTTGATCGGCTCTAGTCTTGTCTCTTTCAACGCCTCAATCGCGAAAGGTGCACGCGACATCCCGTCTCTGCCCTGAAGCCCCCCTTCTATCTTAGTCGTCTCTCTACTCGGTCAAAACATCTGTAGATCTTCCCCCCCTTTTCGACCTCAAACAGACGTACCAGTACAACAACAACCTCGATCCCGCAACTTTGCGACAATGACTGCCGCCGAATCGCCCATGGCTCAGTCTACCGCCCTGGCCTCGGCCGGCAAAGACCAGATCGCGACCCGCCGTCGTAGAAAGTCGAGCGTGCGAGGCCACGGCCACGGTCACGACGCCAACGCCCGCCAGCCCTCCAAACAGGAGCAGCTCGACCGCCTCTCCAAGCGCAGCCGTGCCCGCGCCATCCTCCGCCGCTGCAAGCACATCGCCGTCAAGCACACCTGGACCACGCCCCTCGTCATGGTCCTCGTCTTCCTCTCCCTCTACGCCGTCAACCCCACCGAGTCCAACATCATCCACCACTTCATCTTCCTCTCCTACAAGATCCCTCAGCAAGGTCTCGATGCCGCCGCCGGTGCTGAATCCGACGCGCCCGCGCAGTATGGCAAGGGTCTCTGGGATATCGCTTTCGTCTGCTTCTACGCCACAGTCCTCTCCTTCACACGCGAGTTCATCATGCAGGAGCTCCTCCGCCCGCTCGCAAAGTCCCTCGGCATCCGCTCCCGCGGAAAGCAGCTGCGCTTCATGGAGCAGGCCTACACCGCCGTCTACTTTGGCATCCTCGGCCCCTTTGGACTGTACGTCATGAGCCGCACGCCCGTCTGGTACTTCAACACCACCGGCATGTACGAGACGTTCCCCCACAAGACCCACGAGGCCGTCGTCAAGTTCTACTACCTGTTCGAGGCGGCCTACTGGGCGCAGCAGGCGCTCGTCATGCTCCTCGGTCTCGAGAAGCCGCGCAAGGACTACTACGAGCTCGTCGCGCACCACTGCGTGACGTTGGCCCTCATCGGCCTGAGCTACCGGTTTCACTTCACCTACATGGGTATCGCTGTCTACCTGACCCACGACATCAGCGACTTTTTCATGGCAGTAAGTTTCACTCGCAAGATACGTGCAAACCCTAAGTCGACGCAACGCAACTGACACAACCTCCTCTCCAGATGTCCAAGACTTTCAACTACGTTGACGCACCCATCACGGGTCCCTGGTACTGCCTGTCCCTCGCCTCGTGGATCTACCTCCGCCACTTCATCAACCTCAAGATCCTCTGGTCCATCCTCACCGAGTTCTCCACCGTCGGCCCCTACGAGCTCAACTGGGAGACGCAGCAGTACAAGTGCCTCCTCTCCAAGATCATCACCTTCAGCCTGCTCGGTCTCCTGCAGTCCCTCAACCTCTTCTGGCTCTTCTTCCTCGTGCGCATCGGATACCGCTACGTCTTCCAGGGCGTCGAGCAGGACGACCGCTCCGAGGCCGAGGAGTCCGAGGCTGAGCCCATGGAGACCATTGACGAGGTGTCCAAGATCGACGTCGCGCCCGTGGCGGCTGCTGCTGGCGGAGAGGCTGCGCAGGCTGTTGCGAACGGTGTGGCTAAGGCGGTTGGCGGGGGTGGCATCGCGTCACGAACCAGGAGCCGCCGCGCTGCGTAAGGCAGGGCAGCTTTGAGGCGGTCGGAAAATGGGCTTGACGAATTGCTATGGTTCTGAGCTACCTGCGTACAACTTTTTGGGGGCGAGCATCCTCTTGCTCGGACTTTTGTACATGTATCATATCCTTCATTTTAATAACGCCTAATGTGTAATGACAACAAACATTGATCACCAATTTCATCCGATCGCATCCACTGTGACATTTGCGAATCTTCAAACAACTAAAGAGTCAACTAAGGACAATCAGGCGCGGCGGTGTAAGCCGGGCAGAATCACTCGGCGCTACCTATCTGGATTCATGATGTCATTGGACGTTAGACTTTCTTGGGCCAATACCCCGCGACAACACCTCCGCCAGATGCCGGAAGCGACGGGATTGAAGACGATTCCTCCTCCGGTTTAACAGCCTGTTGGAATTTGTTCGGGGGCTCCGGGAGTTGGTTCTGCATATTCGCGACGGATGCTTACAGAGTCTGCCATGGGAGAGCGAATCAATAATCAGTCATGTGGGTTTTTGGTGGTGGATTTGATTTGGTAGAGGTGGTAGTGAAGGGTGCTTGAGGTGTTTTATGGTGGCATGTGATTGGTATGATGGTAAGCCTGCGCTGTAGCATTCGATGTAATTGATTAGCTATTTGATAGGAAGCTGGACGAAAGACTTTATGAATGATGTCAAAACAGATGGATTGACTGGGTGGTTTACTTGAATAGGACGAATCATTGAACGCTCCAAATACTTGCTCTCAAGATTGAGAGTGAAGAGTTGAGAGTCTTCGGACGTACTGAAACACAACTTCAATGTTGAATTTGAATTAACATTCAAATCACCAAGAAAATTCACAACTCCGCAACCACATGGCTAGCTAAAGCCGCAAACCATCAAAATTGAATAGAGAGTCTTGGGAATTACTTGAAAGTTTTCAGTTAATTGGAAAAGCTCTTGATTGGGGTAATGCTGAGCTATTCGAAGAATTCTGAGGTTGCGACTAACAACCATAGAAGCACCAGAGTTAAGCCGCTCAGCTCGCTGAATGCAACACATATACATACAGGTAAAGATACATGGGAACGGATATAGATCAAATGGTGAACTTATGCAGACAAATTCCATGACATGATTGCGTCTTCATGTGAAGATGGAGTGACTCTACTGCTGTTGTCTCTCCCACTCCCATTGAGCAACATCAAGTGTTGAGCCACACCAGCCCAGCCACAGACGCTGCCCCACCATCGGCTGCCGGCGTCGTCTCATGCCGGAGGCCATCCACGTGACCCTCCCACCACCCACACCGACGAGACGCCTGGCCCGAGCGTCAGCATTGGAGCTCCAGAAAAATTTCCAATTGACACCAGTGGGGGGAAAGGAAAAATTGAAGAAAAAAATCCGACTCTGGATACTTTTTTTCGACCTCTCTTTTTTTGACCAGCGCTGTCGACTCGCCTCTGCCCACCCACAATAACTTCCGCGAGGCTTGATTGTCCGGTCCCCCCTCCCGCGCCAACGAACATCAAGATCAGAGAGAGAAATAGACAGAGGTTTCCAAAATGGCGGCGATCAACTACCTCCTCTACGAGGCCCCCATGGGCTACGGTGTGTTCCAGATCGAGCACCAGCCCGACAGCATCGGCCTGCGCCAGAAGGAGGCCCAGGAGACCATTGCCGACCTCTCCAAGTTTGGCAAGATGGTCAAGCTGGTCAACTTCACTCCCTTTGAGTACGACTTCCCCAATTTCGCGAATTGAGTGCAGTGGTGGTTTTGGTGGTAGCTGAAAGCTGGAGGCTGGAGGCTGCGCGAAGGAGGGGATCTCTCGAAAGCGCGTCTTGGATGCGGGACCACAGCATTGGAGACAAGAATGAAGAATACCCTGCTGACAATACCCTTCTCACAGCACCGGAAAGCAGGCACTCGACGAGATCAACCACATCTCCGAGGGTCTCATGTCCGACCACCTCAAGTCCGTCCTCGAGCTCAACCTCCCCCAGACGAGCGGCAAGAAGAGCAAAATCACCATCGCCGTGGCCGAGAAGAACCTGGCCTCCGTGATCAAGAGCACCTTCTCCGGCATCGACTGCGAGACCTCTGAGACCTCCGAGGTCGCCGGCGACCTCCTCCGCGGCGTCCGCCTGCACGCCGACCGCCTCCTCAAGGGCCTGCAGACGGGCGACTCGACCGCCGCCGGCCTCGGTCTCGGCCACTCGTACTCGCGCGCAAAGGTCAAGTTCAGCACCACCAAGAACGACAACCACGTCATCCAGGCCAGCGCCACCGTCGAGTTCCAGGACAAGGGCGTCAACCAGTTCTTCATGCGCGTGCGCGAGTGGTACGGCTGGCACTTCCCCGAGCTCGTCAAGATCGAGTCGGACAACCTCACCTACGCCAAGCTCGTCCTCGCCATCGGCGACAAGGCCACCCTCACCGACGACCGCCTCCACGACATCGCCGCCCTCGTCGAGGAGGACGGCGAAAAGGCCCAGGCCATCATCGACGCCGCGAAGGTCTCCATGGGTCTCTCCATCACCCCCGCCGATCTCGAGATCGTCAAGGGCTTCGCCGAGGCCGTCGTCGCGCAGGCCGAGGCCCGCCGCTCGACCGCAAACTACCTCGACAAGAAGATGTCCATCGTCGCGCCCAACCTGCAGACCCTCATCGGCACTCCCGTCGCCGCCAAGCTCATCTCCCACGCCGGCTCCCTGACCAACCTGTCAAAGTACCCGGCCTCGACCCTGCAGATCCTCGGTGCCGAAAAGGCCCTCTTCCGCGCCCTCAAGACCAAGAGCAACACGCCCAAGTACGGTCTCATCTACCACAGCAGCTTCATCGGCAAGGCCGCCGTCAAGAACAAGGGCCGCATCTCCCGCTACCTCGCCAACAAGTGCTCCATTGCCAGCCGTATCGACAACTACACCGAGAACCCCAACACCAAGTTCGGCGAGGCCCTCCGCCAGCAGGTCGAGGACCGTCTCGAGTTCTACGCCACCGGCAAGAAGCCCGCCAAGAACTCCGACGTCATGGTAAGCCGCTGACTGCATTCTCTTGATGTTTCTCTAAAGTACCATGCTAATATTCCAAAGGCCTCCGTCTTGGAGCAAGTCGAGGGCGACCTCGCGCTCGACGACGCGGAAATGGTCGACGCCGTCGCCGAGGACGTCAAGAAGGAGAAGAAGGAGAAGAAGGAAAAGTCCAAGGACAAGAAGGAAAAGAAGGAGAAGAAGCGCAAGCGCGAGTCCGAGGTCGGCGCCGCCGAGCCCGAAAAGGCAGACGGCGAAAAGAAGAAGAAGAAGAAGTCCAAGTCCAAGGATGAGTAAAGAAGAGGGAACGTCGGTTTCTGTACAACCCTCAGTCTTCTTTGCACATACCCCCCATCTACCCCAACCTTGTTCCAAAAAAACTTCTTCCGGCTCTTTTTTTCAAAACGTAGGTCTGGCGGCAAGTACCTTAGGCATCATTCCCGGCTCTTCTCTCTCTCATCTTGTTATCTACCTGTGGCTTTCTTTTTCCTGTTCCTTTTTTTTTTCTGTTTTGGGAGTTTTATGGGGGGAAATGAGAGAAAAACCGGGCTTATTTGAACGGAGTTTTTGGGCTTTGAAAAAATGTTAATGCATCATTCTACAATATGTGTGTATGTACAGTTGAAAGAACAACCAACCGAACCCATACCCCCAGAATCCCGTCTGCCCCTTGTTCAGTCTACCATGATGAGTGAATGTGGCTCAGTGAGAGTTCCATGATTGAGTTGTCTCTTGGCTTGGGTCTGACTTGACTTCAACAAAGGGCACCTAGTCCGCCAGAGACCCATAATTTCTTCAGGCCAAAAGCCTCCCGTTCAAGTATTCACTCCCACCCCTAAAATCCTAAATGATCCGGCCTCTCTCATCTTCATGGTAGGCCAACTTTTTAGATTGTACGCTGTATCGAGAAGGGGGCAGAATGGAGGTTGCAATGCAGTAGAAACTAAAAAAAAAGGAACAATAGACAAAAAAGAGTAATACGTTTGATATTTCCCCCAACCCAAAATGCCGGCCGTTTCAACGCCAGAGGACGCCCCCAACTCTCGACCACAGCCCATCCGCCCCCCGTATTCACCACCCATACCATCCATCCCAAATAGTTTCTGTTTCTTTCCATTCTTTCGTTCTCGTTTGAGATAATCTCCAAAGTCTTCTTCGAAATAAACACCACCCCATCCCGTCCACAATAACCAGAGGACCCAGCTCATGCGCCCTCGCTACCGAACTCGTTTGTCCACTCTATTTGCTTGGCGGCATCGTCGTCGGAAACAGTGGGATGCGAGTCCCTCAAGGCCTGCTTGAAGTCCTTGAGCTCGATGATGGGCGCCATCAGCTCCTCCGAGTCGACGTCGTGATACGTCATCTCCTTGGCTTGGGGGTCGCCGGGCGAGCAAGGTGTCAACTTCTTCTGGCCCTCGTGAACAACCTAAACACAGTTAGCATCATTCCATCTATAGCACATGACAGAAGTCGAGGCAGCATACCGGCTTAAAGTGTGTGGCTTGGATAATCTTGCGAACGGGCCCCATCAAAGCCTGCTGCACCACGTTGGCAATATCACTGCCAGAGAAACCCTCCGACAGCTCGGCCAGGACGCGGTAGTCGTCCGCCTGGAGGTGCGTTTCCGTGTCGCCGACGGCCAGCTTGAACATGCGCGCGCGGCCGTTGACGTCGGGGAGACCAATGTGCACGCGGCGCTGGAAACGTCTGCGGATGGCGGCGTCGAGCTGCCAGGGAATGTTGGTCGCGCCCAGGACCAGAATGCCCTTGCTGTCGTTTCCGACACCGTCCATCTGCACGAGCAGCTCCGTCTTGATACGTCTTGACGCCTCGGACTCGCCTTCGCCGCGGGGGCCGCAGAGGGCGTCGATTTCGTCAATGAACAGGACCGAGGGCTTGTTTTCTCTCGCCATGCTGAACAGGGCCTTGACGAGCCTGTTTTGTTCCGTTAGCGTACTGCTTGCGTGTTTGCGCAACCGATAATCAACTCACCTCTCACTCTCTCCCATCCACTTGCTTACGAGATCGGAACTGCTGACACTGAAGAATGTGCTGTTTGCCTCCGTCGCGACCGCCTTGGCCAGATAACTCTTACCCGTTCCAGGCGGGCCGTAGAGGAGAATACCCTTCCACGCCTGACGCTTGCCCTGGAACAGTGACGGGAACTTGATGGGCAGCACGACGGCCTCCTTTAGCGTATCTTTGGCGCCCTCGAGACCGGCGACGTCGTCCCACCGTACATTGGGCCGCTCCTGCAGGATGGCGCCGCTGAGAGCGTTGCGCAGCTTCTTGTTGTCCTCATCGCCGTCGTCAGCGCTCCCCTTACCCTTGCCGCCGCCATTAACGCCCACGGCACCGGGTTTGTTCCCGCCCCCGCCGCTCTTTTTACTCTCCGCTTCGTTGAGGTATGTTTTGAGCTTCTCGGCGCGGTCCATATACTCGGCCGTCTTCTGGCGGATGAGCTCCTTTGACTTTGGGTTCTTCTCCCACTTGACGGCAAGGACGAAGAGCTCGAGCGACTTTGTGTATAGTTGAAAGGCCTTGTCGTACTCGGCGGCGTTATCGGCATCGATGGCCTGCTTGACCGTGCTAATGGCACGGCCGAGGAAGTCGGTGATTCCCGACATTGTTGGCTGTGAGTTGGCTTTTGTTTCTCGAGGAGCTCGGCGATTAAGCGGCGTGGAAGAGGTCGGATTTCGTGAGAAGGTGGAAAGAGCGGGGAAAGCTCTCTCGGTGTGAACGTCGTCGTGTTCGTCCGCGCCTTTGGCTAATCACTTCGGGATCGGATGTCGGAAGATGGAAGAATCGGTAGGGTCCCGAGGAGGTCGTCGGTGCCTGGCGCAAACGGGTGGAGGGTTGGAAGTTCGGGCGGGTGAGGAACCTTGAGGAAGCACTTGTGGGCTTGGATTCTGTGACGTTGCCTGGGCAGTTCGTGATGGATCGCTGCGCTAATCGGGGTGCCTTGGGCAGGTGGTGGGGGTGGGGGACTTGTCTGGGTTACATGAAAATATGTGTTTAGATGTATCAACTGTATACATGCATGACGCTTTCACGGCCACCAGTCGAAGGCTATGCGGCCAAATATGACATAGCATAAAGGCTGAGAGGTAAGCAAAAGGAAAAGAATGATGCAAATTAACTTACTGAAAATCTCGCATTGAACGAAAAAAAGAAAGATTTTTGACTCACAAAAAGCTTAAGTGTTTCGCATCCTCTGAGACTTACTTCCCGCCGAGGCCCGTATACCTGCCAAGTGGGTTGCTTAATATTCGACTAAACGGTATTCCGACTGTCTGTCACCACATCGAATGCTGAGTCGAGGTACCAAGTATCTTCTCGCAGACCACTGCGCAAAAGTCGAAACAGAACGAATTATTTCTCAGAGCCTTGGCATTTCGGCGGCATCTGATTCACACACTCATCTCATTACAACATCGTTGGACTGATCTGCGGCATTGTTTCCGACGTTTTCGCGCTCCGGCCAACTGATTAGTTTGCAATTTTCACACTCACCTCCAGTGAACCCCTCACACTCATACTCATACCCCAACCATGGCTGAGGTGCAAGCAAAGCTGCAAAAGCTATCGGAGGAATACCAGGCGCTGCAACAGGGTACGCGATCGGAAACAGGCAATTAGTAGCGAAATCTTTACTCACGTCTCATCAGAACTTCAGACCACCGTCCAGTCGAGGCAAAAGTTGGAGGCTCAGAGGCAGGAGAACCTTGGCGTAAAAGAGGTAGGCGAGCCTTAGGAACTGAAATTCACGACCACAAGGCTGACATATTTTTCAGGAGTTTGACAAGCTCAAGGATGGCGAGCAGATCTACAAGTTGGTCGGCCCCGTGTTGCTGAAGCAGGATAAGGTGGAGGCCGAGAGCACAGTCAAGGGCCGTCTGGACTTCATCACCAAGGAGATGTACGTGCATCACAAGTGATTTTCATCCAGCAGACTTTATTCACTGACATTTACCAGCGAGAGACATGAAGGATTGATCAGAGACGCCCAGGGTAAGCTGGAGAAGAAGAAGGGCGACATCATCCAAATTCAGACCAGCGCACAAGCTGCGGCGGCTCAGGCACAGAAGGCATGATCAGGGTGAGGGCAACAGCAGTGGATGAACGGGATCAGGAAAAGAAAAAGGCAAACAAGATGAAGGTCTGATGAGAGTGGTGATACAATTAAAAAGCTACCAGGACTATGAACTATACCCAACAATGCTCCGATAAGATTCCTTTACGAAAACGCCATGCTAATGCGACCCTATCCCGGCGGCGATACCCTCGCCACGCGAGATCCCAAAATGTTTCATTACAGCAGTCATGATCATCTGCACCATCTTACCCTCTTAGTTGAGGGCCATAATGGAAAAGCCCCACGGCAAACCCATGTTGCGCGCGGGCAACTCGGTCGCCCAGCCAATAGCGTTCTGGTACTCGTCCTCGGACGTAAACTCCGCGTCGTTGACTTTACCCTCGACGGCGCCCATGATGAGGTCGGCAATCTGGCTGGTCGTGTAGCAGCGCCCAAAGATGCGGCTCTCCTCAATGGTGCGGATCATGGCGGAGCGGAGCTCGCACTCTGCGAAGCGCTGGACCTCGCGGTCGAAGCTGGCCTGCGTGACGGGGCCCTGGTGGTGCGCGGCGAGTTTCTGGAAGAAGGCGACCATGCCGGCGATAGCCTGGGCGAGCATGTGCGCCTTTGTGGCGTCGTCGAGGTAGCTGGCCATGGAGGAGGAGTGCTGCTCGATGAGGCCGTGGACGTCGTGGTCAAAGGTTGCGTGGACGACCTTGGAGATGCTGTCTGGGGTGGAGAGGATGCCCTCTGCGTCTTGGATGGCGAAGGTCTTTGCGATTTCGGCGTAGCATTGGGAGAGGGTTGTCCAGAGGGAGACGTTGTTTTGGACAGAGGCCTTGCCCATGCTTAGTGTGAAGTGGGACATGGTGCTGTCGATGCTTTCTGGGCGAGTTGTTAGTTGCTGGTATGGTTCTGTGTTGAGTAGGGCGGCTTACTTCTGCAAGTGGTGGAAGACATGGTGGCGGTGATGTATGTGAGGTCTCACGATGATTTGGTGATGAGGTTATAGATGGAGTAGATGGATGTAACACTGGTATTTGTGATGAAGATGGATGAAGATAATCAAGCAGATCTGAGAAATCTCTACATCAACAAAGGCGGAAAACTTCTCCTTTAATCTCGACTGAATTGTAGCCTTGTGGCCTCATCGGGAGATTCTTCCATGTCCAGCCAGGATGGCTCAGATGGTGGCCATCCCTGGATCTGCCATGGCCGGACGGACGAACACATGGCAAGGACTAGTCGACATTGGGTCCCCAGTCTTTGCGGGAGATGCCCGGCGGCGACCCCCATTTGGCATCAACACTTGCGAATTGCAAAAGCAAGGCGGGAGAAAAAAAACAGGAGCTCGAATACGGTCATGCCCTCCACAATACCGCAAAAACATCAAGCCATCTCGCCGTCAGATTTGGGCTTGATGGCAAGATGCGATAGCTGATAACCTGACGACTCGGCACCGCCACGGCCGCAACTTGAGACAATGGAAGACGACGTATCATCCGCCTCAGTAACAATAAACAGGGACTTGAACATAGAGTCTCCAGACCGCCAATGATCTATCTCACTTTGGCAGCTGGCTGGCTCCCTCGCTCACCGGCGACCAGCGGAAAGAAAAGAGCGTGGGGGGCAAGCCGTGTATTCGACTCAAGCAACAGGAAACATGCACGTCAGGGAACATGCGACCCGGTTCAAGCAGGCGGTGGAAGCAGTCGAGCATGGTGCCATGTTGAGACCCGAGCCGCAAGAGGATCAATGCGGATAGGACCAGGGAACGTCAGGAACGGCTTCACCGGCCCGCCTGGGCGCAATTCGGGTTGCTTTGGTTTTCCCACCTTGCCAGCTTGCCAGCTTGGCTGGATAATTACCTTATTCGTGGTAAAGCTGAGTGGTTGGCGAAAAAGTAGTACGAAAAATTGAGCGGGTTCCGACATTTCCCGATCTTGGAATGAGGCGAGCGTCTGGCCCCCTTCAACCTTGCTTGTCGGTGTCCGTTGGGTTGGCGAGCAAACGAGAGAGGTCTCGTAAATCGAACGGAAATACGGGCGAGGTGACGTCTATGTACAGCTTGTGTTGTAGCTCGATGAGGCCCTGATGCTTGAAATTTTCATTGCATCGTGGCAATGCGATGGATCATTGAAAACTTCGAATTTCTAGTCCATCTCTTGGATTCCCAGCTCAGTGACATTTATTTTGGAGTGGATCCGAGACAATGATCCGGATCCTCCCGCAAATGACAGCTCGACAAAGCGTGAACCCTGACTATTCCTCACCTTGGACTGCTTTCGTTCACCACTTTCGGTGATCTAGATGACATAAGCTGATACTCGGTGTGGTTTGGGTCACGTGTCGAAGCTATCGTACACGTGATGCGCACTCGAACGGGGCCCGAGCTCTCTCCCGTGCCCCTCCATTTGGTGCGGACCTTGTCGGCTTTCCCCCCATCCATGGCGGGGTGCTGCTGGGCGTGTGCTTCAGGCTTCAGGCTTCAGCCACGAGTGGCTCCTCTAGCGCTTCGTCATACGGTCCCTGGGACGAAACTCGCAAGACGTCTTTGACCAAACGGTCACCCGCTTGCTACCTCAAGGCTGCCACGCTTGGCCTTTTGATCTGAGAAACATGCCAACATCTCCCTGAACGGTGTTTGTCACCACTAGCGACCGAATATCCAACGAGACACTCCCGAGCTTGCACCGCAATACACAGCGAAAGCCGGATCGGAGAGCTCCAACTCCTCCGACACCACCAAGATGAACGGCCCTTCGAGTCCCAGGCCCGCGCGGCCCATGAGCATCAAGGAGATTACTCTAGCAGCAGAGGACTTCGACTTTAGGACTACAATTCCCTTCAAGTACTGGGCGCGATCTGCAGATACCTTGTTCCAAGAGGTTTGTGCCCCATTTCGGGTTGTTTGTTTGCCTGCGCAGCGATCGCTAATGACAATGCGATCTAGGCAACCTTTGCGCTTCAAGATCGCGACATACGAAAAGCATACCAGATGCTATGGCGACACTCAATACTAGTCCTTACTCACTTGAAAACACATCCCGATGCCAAGTTACCCGAAAACAAGGCGCTCACGAAGCCGCTGTTCGACCGCCAGAATAAGGAGGTTTTCGGGCTACTGGAGGAATTGAAGCCGCAAATCGACCGCGATTACAAGGAATGGCAGTTGATGAGTGCGTCAAAGCAGAGAGAAGATGACGAATTCACCACCAGACCCACAAGCTACAACGAGTTTGCTGCCCGAGACCCGACCTTATCCGGAAACGCCAAGATCCTCGATGCCGCCGATAACCAGGAGCTTGCAGTCTCTTTGGCGCAACGAGACTACAAGAGACGAGATGCTGCAAGGAGAGCGACGCGGCAGGCCGGCGTTAGCGCCGAAGAAGAGCAGGAGCGCCGGAAGGGTGGCCGCTGGGAGGACTGGGAGCAATTCAGCAGCCCAGCGACGGCCGCATCAGAGGAGGAAGATATAAGGAGACAGATCGAAGCGACTCGGCGCCGACTTGACGGGACAGACGGGGGAAGAGACGAAGATACCTTTGGCAACTCGCAAGCGTCAAATTACCAAGGCCAGGTACCCCCGCCGAGAGCTCCTCCCAGCTACTCTTACAACTACCCGTCTATTTCACGACCAAGGGCGCTGGAATGGGAGGCATCGCCATTGGAACCGCAGCGCGCTTACACGCCCCCACCGCCTCAACCACCGAAACCGCCAAAGGAGGACTTCACGATGATGCGCCAGGAGCTCGATGCGGCACCTCCTATGAGGCCAAGCAAGGAGCCATTAACGTCTTACAGGCCGCCGTCAACAGCCAACGCGCTACAGGGAGGCGTTCCGGAGTTGCCAGCCAAGGAGGAGGTCATGCCACCGGCGGCAAAGGAGCGGCTAGCCTTCAAGCCGGCAGCCTACCTGGAGAATGGCGATCCTATCCGACCCGTGTTCCTCCCAACACAGCTCAGGGATACCTTCCTCAACATTGCATCTGAGAACACTCGCAGAGGCCTCGAAATGTGCGGTATCCTTTGTGGACGACCCGTTAACAACGCACTGTTCATCAGCTGCCTTCTTATCCCCGAACAAAAGTGCACACCGGATACGTGCGAAACGGAAAATGAATCGTCGATGCTGGATTACTGCATCAACGAGGATCTTTTGGTAGTGGGCTGGATTCATACGCATCCCACCCAGACATGCTTCATGAGTTCGCGAGACCTACATACGCAGGCCGGGTACCAGGTTATGATGCCAGAGAGTATTGCCATTGTGTGTTCCCCAAGGCATTCTCCATCGTGAGTCGCACCCATTTCTTCACACACACAACAACGGCTAATGCAGCTTCCAGGTATGGCATCTTCCGCCTCACAAACCCGCCGGGCCTGCCTCACATTCTGCAGTGCACGGCGTCGGAAACATTTCACCAGCACTCCATTGACAACCTGTACACTGGAGCGAAGAATCCGCCGGGTCATGTTTACCACTCGGAGAAGCTTGACTTTTACGTGAAGGACTTGCGACCGAAGAGGTAAACAAGGAGATCGGAAAACTTGCCTTGATAGTGATTTAGAGAGCTACTGGCTTGTTCAGCTTAGGGCGACCGGCATAATCGATGAGCTGCTGCCACGGTTGATAACGTATCAGTAGTGAGAGATGCATGGAGCAATGCTGCTGCAGTCTACAGCTCAAGTATGGGTTCAGGGCCATCGTTTGATTTGTTGCATGGCGAGGGCGTTGGACAGCTGATAGCTATGTGGTGCGGGAATGCTCATCGAGCACCTCAGCCGGTACGAATGACAAGGTCGGGACTCCGCGGACTGTACAAGGCGGAGCCACATGGCAATACTATTGAACAATGTCACGGCTCAATATGATGAGAAGCACGGCTGGACGTGTCTCATCCGAGCTCGAGGCCCAGACCGCGGGCCATCTAACCTCAGAATACCTAACCGAGAGGGAGAGTTGTATGAGCTTTTATCTCATGAACACCTGCTTACTATGTAGGGGCTGGGCCAAGCATGGCCCTCTCAGAGTTTCGCAAGAAATGACTGAAATGAAATTCCAAATTAGGCCAGAGCGTTGTGTGTCCTGCATTGTCCGTCCCATGAATTTGATCTTGTCCCCGTTCGTGAGCTCACCTCCACCACAGGCCCGCCGGAGTACTTTGGCCGGGTGTCGTAGCTCGGTGAGCCATGACGTCACTGCCGCGGTCTAGCGACTTGTTCCTACATGTGAGCTGTCGAGCTTTTTCCCTTTCTTCATATAAACATCAACGAGACCTTGCACAATACATCGTCACGAGAAGAGGACCATATCCGAAAGAAATAACACAACCAAGGCATTACGTCGAAAGGGGAGAACATATCAACAAGTGACTACAAAATGGCGTTCCCGACAAACATGCTGGGCATCCTCATCACCCTCGTCAGCGCGTTTGCCCTCGTGCACTCGGCGGACTCGATCCCCAGACTACTCAAGTACGAAGACAAGGCCAAAAAGGCGGCGGAATGGAGCAGGACGGCGGAGAAGCAGCTTTGGGAAATCAGATATACCGTCGGAACAGGCTTCGTTGGCGTACGTTCAGCCCCCTCCTCTCACAGTCCAGCACACTTCTCTCCCTCTCACTTCCACTCTCACTCTCACACAATCTCATTCTCATTCTCACTCTCACTCACTCTCAGTCTCACCCTTCCCTGAAACTCACGATATACTAACAACCATTGTCTGGCAGTGCCTCGTGTCCGCCATCGGCGGCATCGCCTTCTCCCTCGTGGTGCCCCGCGGCCTGGGCATCTTCACCGTCGGCTTCCCCATCATGCTTGCCGCGGGTCTGACGTACGGACACCAGTACATGCGCCAATTCTGGGCCTCGAAGCCCAAGGTGCCGCTGATGAAGGACTTCAACGAGGCGATTTCGGACTCGATGATGGTGCAGGATATGATGAACCCCTTGGCTGGCGCGTGGGGTCTCATGACGTTTTGCAAGCTCGTTGGGTTGTAGACGGACTATGTGCCATAGGATGTGTTGATTGCACAGCGCTGGGTTGTTATAGTGTAGACCAATTTGGGTCTTTAGCATAATGCATCGCATGAACGGCGTCCTGATCCTATCAATTTATCTCATCATACGCATCACGCCCTCGCATCCCGTCTCATATAAACCCACGAATACCGCCCCCAAAACTCCTCACTGCCCGTGACACCCGCCAACTTCCCACCAGGCTTCACCCCGTCCGCAAACTCATCCAACTCCGCCTCTAACCTGCCCACCTCCCGGAACCCCTGCCTCTCAAACGCCTTCTGTCCGCCCATGGACGACTGGACCCAGCAGTACACGCCCGGCTCGCGATCCGCCATGTCGGTGCCCCACTTCATCAGCGCCGAGCCGATGCCGCGGGACTGGTGATCAGGGTGGACGACGTAGGTGCACAGGAACCTGCATTTGCAGCCCTCGGGCATGAAGCGCTTGACCCAGTAGTTCATTGATGCGTTTGTTAGTTCGCCGAGGTCGTCTATCGTCTTGGTCTTCTGCTCCGCGCCCGTGAAGAATGTCTCGGGCTGGGGTTCTTCGTCCGGTCCGTCCAGCGGGAGGTCAGTGTCGCCGGCGAATCCTCGTCTCACCCACCCGACCCATCCCACAGGCCCGCCGTCGCTCTCGGCGACAATGACGTCGACTTTGGGGTGCGCGATCCAGGCTTGCAGCGCGTCTTGCATGCCCTTGGGAAAATCGTCGTCGCCGCGGATGGAGGCTTTGAGCTGGGTGTGCGAGTCCGTTTTGCAGGCTGCGTCGGAGATGGATGCGAGGGCGGGGATGTCGGCTTCTGTTGCGGGGCGGAGGGTTACGGTGGCTTTGGCGGGACGGGAGGCCGCTGCTGTGGTCGGTGCCGTGGCGGTTGCCGGTGCCGGTGCGGCGGAGGTGGTGGATGGGGAGGATGCCATGGCTTTGCAGGAGCTTGGCGCTGGGGTGTCGGGCGATGGGATGAATGACGGACGCCGGGTGCGGGGACTTGAAGGGCTTGGCACGGGGTGAGGATGTTGTAAAGGGGGGGATGACGGACGGGGAGGGCCGGTCGAGGTGCTTTATTTTGCTTGGGTTTGGGACCTTGGGTTTGTTCATGCTGTATGCTGGGTAGCCCCCGGGTAAGCTGACCGGGTGACTCAACCGGGGAGTGGAGGGCCGGCATTCCCGATACGGATGGTGGAAGACAGAGAGATAGGACTTGGGAGCAGTTTGTTGATCAATTCGATACATTCTGCACACACATCTAATTACGTGTAGTAAGGTAAGTCATATGAAGCTCAAATCCGTCGAATCTATTTAGCAACATATTATCAGAGCCATGCCTTCACTACCTAATTACTACCAGGTGCATGTAAACTTAGTACCGTAAAGCACTTGCAATTCCTATGCGTTTTTCTCTTCTCGTAGTAGCGCACATGTATGTGCATCTAATACTACTCGTGCTTCGCTCTAAGTGGCTGGATTTACAGCACTCATTGTCGATGACGACGCAGTCGCATTGGAAGACCCCCAGACCATTGGAATATATGGTTCGTGAGTGATCGGGGTCGCGTCCTCGAACGACGTCGGTAGCGGCATCGGACTGGGGTAGACCACTGTCTTCGTCTTCGTTGCTGGGTCCGCACTCGTTGGCGTGCCAGACTGTGACGACGGTGCCGCGATCTTGCCCAGACCCGAACCTTTACATGAGATTTTTGGCCCTCCTGCAGATACGATGGCACGCTCAACACAACCATCCGCCATGAAGAATGGCAGATAGAAATGGACTTGAGCCCCTCTGGTGCTTGTGGCCTCTTCCCAGTTCCAACCTGTCATTGCACCGCAGCCGCCTTCTTCTTCCTTGAGCTTCTTCCCGCCATCGGTCACCCAACCCTCGATGTTGTAAATCTCAAACTGCCAGGCTACGAGGGAATCCCAGAACGCGCAGTCCGCCGTTGGTGTTGGAGTTGGAACTGGGTCTGGAGTTGGCTCCGGAGCGGGAGGCGGCGTTGAGGTTGGATCTGGCGTATCGTCGATAGGCTGATCCCCGTCGGCTGGGTCTAGGTTGTCTGCCGGATCGGAGCAGTCCTGTCCTACGAGAGCACAATTATCCTCGTCGTCATTCCCGCATCCTAGATATAGGAAGGCGCTCGGATCCAAGAAGCTGCCTGCCGCTGCTCGGCGCGGCGTCTGAGAAAGACCGGTGCTGACATTATGACTAGTTTTAGCCGGAGGAGGAGCAGCACCGACGGGGTTCAAGTGGTAGGGGGCAGGCACAACCATTTCCTCTGGTCCCTCGTCCTCTGGCTCGTCGATTGTTTCAAGCCGTCCGTCCGATGTCGTGATGTTTGCCCCTTGTCGTGCGAGCTCCTGTACCTCGGCAGGTGTGAGCTCTGTCAGGCCACGTTTTGCCCCACGTATGCTTCTCCTCATCATCGCAGGACCCGAGTAGCCCGGATAGTTATCACATGAATACCACTTGTTGCCTCTAACACGGTTGCGGCGCACAACATTTGGGTGCGGTTGCCACGCATTGGCTTGATCATCCCAATAGGATTTTCCGGGTGCTGGATACTTGCAATAGAAGCTCGGCAACTGGTTCGTAATAGTCTTGACGGTCACACCCTTTTTGTCCACATTGATCCTCGTTGTTTTATCAAAGAGCTTATTGTCCCACCAGGGGTCGTAGGATCTCTCTCCTGCGTTCATCTGGGAAACATGGTTGACGAAAAGGAATGGGACTCCATATGGCCTCGCACAGATGTTGACCCTCTTAGCTTCGTTCTGGTTGTCCGCGTCAACATAGAAGTCGGCATCACTCGTTCCCGAGGGGCCATTAGTGAAAGAAACAGAGAAAATGAGGCCCTTGGCTTGCTCCAAGCTGTTCCTGCCCTGTTCCTTGTACCAGTCCTGGAGAAAATTGCCATGGTCGCCGTTTTCTGTTGTAGGTATAAGACGTAAGACAGACTGCTCATCCCATCTCTTGAGATTAGGACTGCGATTCGGGTTTCCGCTTCCCCAAGGGTATTCTTCGACTTGGCAGCCGAAAAGACCCCAACCCTCCCCTTTAGCATTAGGCGCTGATTTAGGGTTGGTGGGAGAGTACATCCCAGGCCCCGATTCCCACTTGGACCTGTACCACGGCTCTGTGATTTTCTCCATGGCCCCAACGCGAGCATTGGTGCCGGCGTAAGTCATGATTGGAGACTTGTTGCGACTGACAATGGCAGACTGGGCATTGGCGCAGACGTTTGGCCATCTGCTGTAGTCGCAAGTGAACACAGAATGGTAGAGACCGTTGCTTGGAGGGTTGTTGGGATAGTCAGGGTCGACACCACATGCCGCCTGTCTTCGCTCGAGGGGTGACTGACGCTTAGCTGCAGGACAGCAGGTCTGTGATTTCAAAGCATCGAGAACACTCTGGTCTAGGTCTTTGTCGAGGTTCTTCTGGCACTCAGTCATGTAGTCCGGCGCCTCGTCCGCCGCGTGGTCGCATGACACCGTGAAGGAGAGCGGATCAAAGACGGGATAGTTGCCATTGTGACATGTTCCGGTGGTTGTGATGACATCTTTCTGGCAAACCTGATTCCCTTCAGAATCATAATCAGGCTTCTTGCTTCCGCACGAAGGTCCGATGCAGTCTCCATCTTCACCACTGGTGCCCCCTCCCACGACAGTCCACTCGGGACCGCAGCCGGCGCAGATACCTCCACAACCCAGGATGCCGCATGAGCTACAACCAATAAGACAGATCTTTCCACATCCGACGCTACAGGTTGGCCCTGGCGGGCTGGTGCTTGTGAAGCTGACTTTTGTTGGCTGATTGGTAATGACGGGGTATGTCTTGCTGGCCACGGGGGTTGATGTGATGATGATGACGACAGGATCCTGGGACGTGGTTTTCGTTGCACTGACTTTGGGCGTAAAGGTCACTTTGGCCGTGGGCAGAATGGAAGGTGTGATGGTGTATGTCACTTGATCGACGCCGGAATTGGTGATGTTGATGTTGTAAACGGGGATTTCCGTCGTGGTCACTGGGGGAAAAGTAATAGTAACGACAGTTGTCGTAGTTGTATCGTCATCCCACATTTCTGTAAAGGTCTTCGTGATAGGGGGAAACTCGATCGTCGTCTTATCAGAGAGGGTGTAAGGCGGCAGAACCACCACACAAGGGGGTATGCAGGAGACGATTGGTGTGGGATCGTGCCAGACTGACGGGTTGATATAAACTGGAGGCCCTCCACCCGCGCCCCCATCACCGCTCGTGTCTCTTGAAACACAAGCTCCGGGGGGACAGTAGCCTCTGGGGCAGGCAAAGGCGCAAAGCCCATAGTCCTGAGTGCCTTCCACGGGGCTTCCCGCCACTTCGTCAACGATGGGCGGTGTCTCAACCAAGCCTCCCGTGCTGCCACAAGTACAAATGTTTCTCGGACAAAAACCAAAAGTGCATGCGTAGCTGCAGAGACCTCCGAAATTCCCAGGTCCTGTGCCGCCCGTGCAGGCGGTTGGTGAAAAAGGGGACACTGATGGCGTGGTAAGGGGCCCTGGCACTGTGTCGCAAACACCCTCTGGGCAATATCCTAGGTTGCAGTCAAAGTTGCAGAGTCCGGAAAAGTTTTCGTTGAGACCGGCTGCCGGATAACCGGTGATGCCAGAGGATTTCGGCTTGACTCTCTGCTTTCCCATACTAAGACACGATTAGTATAACTTGCTCAAAGTGAGAAGAAAACAAAAAACTTACGCGGTACAAAGGCAGGCGCCTAACGGGCAATATCCCAGCGAACAAGCATACGAACATAGACCAGAGAAATTGTCGATGGATGTGCCATTGATGCACACCAGGTCGTCCATGGATGTTGGCGTTGGATCGGCGGCAGCACCACCGGTAGCGGATCCGACCCAGGCATTCCAGTTAGCCAGGCCTCCAGCACCGCATTGAGTTGAAATAGCCGAACCAGAGCCAGAGAAACTTGAGCCGCCGCCGCGAGAGATGGTGACAACTACATCGCCGAGGTTCCCATTGAACGGGACGCTGCCGCTGTAGAGCCCAACACCATCTTCGGGGCTCTTTGACCAGGTCCCCGCCTGGGTGACACCACCGATAGTGACCGAAACACTCGCTGACGACCCGAGAACGGCGCTGTAGAATACGCGGTCTTGAGAGACCTCGGTTGGCGCAAACTCGAGTTGGAGCTGCGAGGCCGTGTTGCCTGTCGTCATACCAGAATCGCATGCTGCAGCAGGCTGCTTTCGGTGCCAGAATACTAGCTTCTCGTTGGCGATTGTAGTGGTGTTTCGAACATACATGTCGATAGCGAAAGGTAAGATCTCGCGCCACCCATCATGCGGCATGTCAGCGACGAAGTCGATTGGCGCGCGCCCAGTACGCATGGCCCCGAGGGCTTTGCTCTTGATAGGACCGATGTAGTGAGACTCTCCATAGTCGTTCCATGAAATAATCTCTACCCATTCGGGCTGCACGTAGAGCACCTGGCCCCAGCGGTCAGCCCAAAGACTGTCGCCGCGCCAAAGCCAATTCTTGTCGTACCCAGGGAGATTCGTATAGAACCATGGCGATACCGGCATCATGTAAGGTTTTCCTGACAAGTACGTGATATACGATGCATCCACAAAGGTATCCATGTCTTTGTTGCCCCATGGCCAGGCTGACCAGGCAAAGAGCCCGTCAGCCACGCCACCAGCAAGTTCCATAGCCGGCTTAGCACCTAGCGATGACCAGTCGGGAACAAAATAGCAGTTGGTCTGTGACTTGATGTTGATCCAATCAGAGGCACTGCCTGGTCCTTCGAAGGTTGATACGAACGGCTTATTGTTGTGTAAGAAATGGGCGCTGCTCCCTTTGAACTTGTTCAAAACGGACAGAACGGTCGACGCCGGCCAAGGCCCATTACCAGCATAATCGAACGAGAAGAAGAGCTTAAAACCCGCGCTGCTAGCGGCAGAGAATGCCAGATCGTACTGAGGGCCATCGCCCTGATCGTAGGCCGTGTTGAGGGCAAAAGCATCGATGTGAGCGGCTTGAGCAAGCTTTATCTCGTCTGCCCAGTCACTCAAAGTATAGTTCTGGGCGTTTGACACCTGATGAAAGATGAGAGTGAGTTGAGGTTTCTTAGAACTTGCTTAGTTACACCCAATTGCATCGTTGAACTCACCATGAAATGGGCAAAGACAGCCTTCGCCCTGGCTTGACGAAAAGCCGTCAGCACGAGAGCGAGGACGCAAAGAAAACGCATAATAGTTAAAAATCAAGATTGTGCTTCAAATGATGAGTGAGACTGATAAAGATTTTGCAGGCATAGGTGAGACTCATATCTAAACGAGTAGTAGAAGCTTCTTTATACAAGATGGCCTGTCTGCGCTGAACAAGATGCTATGCGCAAACGCTATGCTTACGATCTTTTTCACACAGCTAGCCCTTCCTGTTACGAAGGTAAGTAGACAGCCTCAAAACGTAGTGTCCTCCGAAATTATCTTTTGGAAGCAGAACATCGTGACTCAAACTGTGCTTACATGCATTTCCATCCATCGTAGCCTGTCATGATCTTTGCGGCGCATTCAAACGGCGAACAGGGGTTTTGTGCCGCTTGAGGTTAGGACGATGTTGAAGAATCGCAACAGCTTCGACCAACAAGACCAACAGGGGGTTTTGGTCAGCCTGAAATATGAACTTGGACGGATAGTCTAGCCGAAATCGCTTCCAACAAGCAACTGGCCCGTCTTGGCGTCGGCCCGGCAGAGCTTGAGGCAATTTAGCGTCACGTTGGTGTAGCAATTCACGCCGTAAACCTGCATACAAAGATTACCCGCGCGAAGAGTTTATGAGGCCATGTGATTGCAATTTGCATTGTGCATGAACTGGAAGTGGCAGGTCAGCCCTTCTAGGGTCTTAATCGCCAACCGCCAAAGTGTTGGTTGGTGCACTTCGCCAAAGCTCATGTTGGATACCATACATCACAGGGTTACATATGGCTGATGACAGTCGGGCCGTGATCCTAATTAAGTAAATGCAGTCAAAAGAACATAGCAGGCAGCAATGTCCTAATGCGACGACCAATATATGCAGGGCTCAACTATCATCGACAGCCCATGGGCAATCCTGCCAGGAACGGTGTTAGCCGCCAGCGATGGGATAGACAGGGGCTGTGTGTCATGCCACTCTCAATTGATCAATCACTCCATAATATCAGTGGTAGAGGCAGCCTGATTTCGGGCTTCTCGATACAATTCGCCCGAAGACACGGCGATAGACGCCCCGTTCATAAAGGCACCTCAACAGTAGCCTGCGCCGTTTGCGATTTTGGTCAAGCGGAACACATCACCAACTTCAGTTCGGTCAGTGACACTAATTTGTCTATGATAATGTCTCTTAGAATCAACCTCTTCGTGTTTTCCGCCTTGTTTGGCATCATCGGATCCTCCCAAGAAGGCACCAATCCCGAAATGCAGCATATTGGGAAAGTCTTGGGAAGTTTCCTTGCCAAAGGACAACTCTTTGTTGAGAATTTGCCTTTACTTTCACTCAAGATTCTCACACTCAATGAAACAACAGTCTCAATACTGGGGAATATTGCCCGACTGTTGTTATGCGCCATGGCAACTCTCTGGCTTTACCAGAAGAAGTCGAGACACGCCATTTTGGAACGATGTCTGTCCCTGGCAATTTGTTTAAGCATTCTCGGAGCCTGTTCAATACTTCAACCAAGACCGCAGACGGACTTTTTGTGGTCTGGGCGCTGCATTGCCGATTTTCTACTCTTCATTGCTGTGTGGAGTGAGCTGAACACAACTGCCGAGCCCGCCACCTTTCAATCAATCATAAGACGCTGCGATTGTCTTCTTGTTTTTTCATCGCTCTTGGGATGCAATATCTTCGATTTGATAACAGCTTCCCTAATAATCTTTCTTCTTCAAACACTCAATTTTTTCAACTCAACAGAGCTATGCCGTAAATCGGATGTACGTATTCAACTTCTGCTCTGCGATTAGATCCCTGCTTAACATGCAACCGTAGGCGACTGTGATGTCGACTCTCATGTGTAGAGCAGTTCAAAGCATTGTCCAGCCGATGGCGATTTGGATAATGGTTACTGGTATTCTCTCTCCAATTTCAGAGATCTCAGCTGGAGGCAATTACAATACGCGCTTTCTGTCTCCAAGGGCAAGGCGAGCTCTTTCCCCAATCAGCGAGAGCGTAAAAATTCCCAACTGGGGAAATTATAGTCTGCCACCTCATGCTATCATCCCCTACGTTCCTTTGTCTTTGTACCTCCCTCGAGCTGGGTTTCTGTGGCAGGACGATGAAGTTTGGCTACCAGAGCAGGGAAACTTTGGCGCAGAATGGCAGCTCAATCAAGAAGAAGCTTGGGCTGAATTCCATGACTTAGAACAAGTAGGCTCTGGATACAGTGTCGAGACACTATATCGGGCCTACTTTTCCGACCCCATCGGGAGGCGCCACCCATGGGCGTTTGAGCAAGACATCGCCGCAGATGTGTTTGAATCGAAAGAGGAGGATTACATACGTAGCCATTTATGGTCCGGTGAGATCGTTCATCTCCGAAGCCGAGTAACGCAACACTATATGGGTGTCGTGGGCGACGCAAGCTCTTATATTGACGAAGAGATGAACGTTCGATCGGAAGATGGATTCCGGCGTTTGAGAGTTGGGTAAGTCTTCGATCCGGACAATACTGGATACTGAACTAACGACATTGTATTACAGTGGCTTGAAGACGAAATCCCGAAACACAACGTGGATCATTCAGTACAACTCTGGCGTTGATAATGGGTTCCGTCTCCTAAATCCCATCCAAGACTGTTATCTGTCGTCAAGCTTTCGGCAATTCCCAAATTGGGATGGCCTTCACAGTAATGACACGGTCAGTCTGCAACTGCACGGCATCATTGAAGCTACTTGTACCCGTGGAGCTTCAAAGGATGCATCTACATTCTTCATTATTGAGGGTTAGTGCCCCTCAGCTGGAACGATCTTGAGATCTCATGAATGACATTGTTTTAGGTACATCAAAGGCCCCGACCAGGTCTTGGCGAGCTGTCTGTGGTCAGATTCCCGGAGTCCAGAGAGTCATTGACGCTTTCTCAATGGGCTTTCATGTTGCGATGGGGTTGCTTTCTCTACAGAGAACCCGAAGATTATACGGTAAAACGTTAGACATACCTCCAGCACTGCTGCGCAATGAGTTGAGCGCTGTTCCATTATTCCAGACGCTTGAGAAGGCACTCGTTGCTACATTTCTTTTTTCGCATGCTGTTCTGCTTCTCAAGAAGCGGAGATGGCCGGCACAAACAGCGGATAATGTCACGCAAGGGTCACTGAGCGGGAGAAGACAGTCTCATCTGTCAAAATTGACATCGTGTGCTATTTTCGTCTGGGGTCATTTTATGGCATACTACGTGGGCAATATTGCGCGTCCCTCCGGCGCCACATTGGTCATGATATTTTCTGTCGTTGGTCTAAGCGAGATTGTTGTCGTATTCTGAGCATCGGTTCTTTCTCGAGTTACAGACCGCTCCATTACTAGAGTAGATAATCGAAGACTGCAGCTGGTATTCTCCCATATTGAATCAATTTTAGTTAGTAAACTCTGGGGGGAACCCGTAACGAACGTCTATGGAGATTCATTGGTGGAAACCGGAATCGGCACGAGGAATTCGAACTTCAATTAGACATGCGCTGAACTCCCGTTCCCGTTGGAAACCCCTTGTCGTGCCGAACGTCCTTTCTTGGCGGCACGGGCGGCAAAGCTGTCAGACACATTGCAGGAACGATAACACCTTCCAAATCCATACTAGTCAATGTTATGTCTGCCTGGCTCAAGTGGAGTTGCTCGGTGTCAAAGTCCGAAGCCTTCACAAAGCCTGCTGGATGTGTTGGTTCCTTGCAGATCGCCTATCAATCACGATCAACAGAACAATGCCATTATCGGTAATTATGTTTACGGTGCATTATCCTGCAGGTGTAATATCCAGTATATGTAAGAAGGAGATAGCGCGCTCGCGTAAACGTATTCGTTGGCTTTGCTTTTAACACGAGGCATTTCCCCCATCAAACAAGGTAATTTTTGTCTGGCATCTCTCACCTTTTACCGAGCGAGCTGCACCAGCATTAACGAACACTCGCCGTATTATTTGCTGAAAGTGGGAACGTCTCTGGCTTGTACATCAATTTCGACAGATCTTGATCAGGTTAAGGCCATGTACTCAACGCGCGAGGACATTAAGGCTGCTGTTGATGCGTATCGTGCACACATCGCTGAACGCAATCGCCGAGCCCTTGAAGTCTACGGTGCGTGAAAATCACATCATGGAAACGTTTGAAGAATAAGACTGATGCAGAGGATCTAGTGCAACTTGCCACACAGGCTGAGCTCGACCCAGAAGATTGGGGAGATGAAGCCGAAGACATGAGGGTAGACTGTTTTGGTAGCGTCCTGAGTCGGAATGATGCCCGGACCCTGATTTCAAGTCCAGAAGATATGCTCACAAAGTTTGATGAACTCGCACCGCTTTGCGACCTTGACGGTTGTGGAGGGTCTATTCCCAACAGCCATGACCGAGAGCTGTACTTCTCCCGTCTGGAGAGCGCGCTGAAGACGAAATGTCTCGAGGAAGTCCGTGATAGCATCACTGCTCCTCCAGAGCTTCGAATTCTTGCAGAGTACGTGGGCGCATTGACCGGACCCGGGATGGGGGAGACCAAATGGACGTATCAGGCCGTATTCTGGACTGGGGCGAGCTCTCAGACGGAATCTTTGATCGACGCTACGGTTAAGAGACCCCAGGACCTTTCAGTTGATGGTTGTTGGGACGTCGCTGTGGGATGGGAGTCTGGGGACGGCGTGGAGAGTTTCTTTTACATAGTCTACTGCCGAAAAACCCGGGCCGACGGAGAAGTCGAGCCGTGGGCCTGGCGATACATGGCTTATGGCCCGGACGACGACAAGACCTTTGATACGATCCCGGAGTTGCTCGAGTGGTATTGTCAGTATCGGGAAAGAGAGGTGCCTGATATTGATGACTTAAGCGTGGACGATGTACTAGAAGGGAACATGTACTAGCTGGAGTACATACTATATCCTAGGTCCAGCACCTGTAGTTCTGATTTGCTTTGTTACAGCCGTCAGCGATAGATCTTGTTCACCTGTGCAGTCTAGTACAGATTCTTTCTTCACACCATCGAAAGTCTCATCGAAAGTGGCTGATTAAAGGCCTGAAGCGTCATTTCCGAAGGAACGAATGTCATTGGGTAACCCAGCACGAAGTTGGATTTTCATCCAGATACCATCGTCATAACCATCGTATTCGGGTCTACGAAGCAATCGACGACCTACTCTACTTCTCAGTCGCGGATGTCCCAAGGCTCTGTAAGAAATTGGTCTACTTGAAATCTCGATGATGTACCAGGTTGTTCGAGGTGTGAACGATGGAAGGGGGACATTTGCATGGCGTAAGGAAATGTGATGTAAGGGGTTCAAGGAATAGTCTGTAGATCATGTCACTCTGGAGAAATGACCGTTGATAATGTGGGGAACTCCGTTTCCGTGTTGTCTCTTTTGGGAAACTGTCATATTTTTGGCCACAGTATCACAAGCAGCTGGTGCGCAGCTTCCCTCGGCAAGAGGCTCATTAGTCACTACAGGGGGTTAGAACTCAGTGATGTGTCGCGAACTAATGGCGTGAGCTTCTTCTTCAGCCTTACAACTTCGTCATCAAATCAATTCATGAGAAGTGACCATTGTGAAAAAGGTCTCGATGGACACTTGTAACAAGAATTATGGTATCATGTGTTGCAAAAGCCTGTCTTAAGATTTGTGAGGCAACAACTCTCACATCAGGAAATTGACCATGCCAGCCTGTACGCATACAGACGGAGATACACGTAGCGAGAGTCTCTATAACCCTGTGAGGCAATCTCTTGACTTGATTGAATCTTCAAACTTGGAAAAAACCTTTGGATTACTCTCTCAACAAATGTCTCTAGGTCTTCAGGCGAAACTGAAAGCATCGTCATTCGAACAGATATTGGGTGCAACTTGAATCACTTTGATACAGTGGCGACAACATCGACCAAAATCCAACTAGAAAATCCGCAAAAGATAAATCTGAAAATCGGCTACGGATGCCGTTCAAAACCAAGATTATCGAAAAAGTGTGGCATCACGACACATCGGGTAGTAGCATCTTCACACGCTCGGTCGTTCGTGGTGGATGGTCAAGAATTCCAGACGATCATGGCAGAATTTCTGACACCAGCAAACTCGCGGCCCAAATTCTCCCAGCTCACTACAGCTATCACATCATGCACATTTCCAGAAAGTCCTTGGACATTCGTTCGGCAACTTCTGCCGTAAAGGGGTGAGAGGTGGGCACACTTGTCAATGGGAGGTCTCCCGGAAAGACGTGCATCCTTTAAAAGCTTAACGGTGGATGCTTTTTCTGCTGAACTGACGTTGAAATACGGCAGCAGTTTACCATTGTAATGCGGATAATGCAGGACCACCCTAGGCCAAGATCTGCAAGATGTGCACTAGACCAGCACACCAATGCTGCCCAGCAGGTCTGCACGTCCTTTCGGCTCCGTTCTACGATACGGGTACGAAAACGTCGGAGAAATGATTCGACCACGTTGAACGACGGGAGGAGCAAGAGGACAAGGGGGGCTTGAGTATTGTAGAGTTTGGCAGACAGCCCAATCCCGGCCTCGCCTGGCGAGGAAGCGTGGGTATCGTTGGGAAACGCACCGTTATATGCTATGCCGCTTGTCGCAAGCTTAGGCAACATGATATGCATAGCAGAACGTTGCCGATAACTTTCCACGAGAGCCAACCGATTCATTAGATGTTAATGCGACCGCCCCGGCGCGGGCATGACGTTAGTTTCTCATCGAATGCCCGTTGCGGTAAGACCCTCGTCGCGGAGCGACAAGCCACAACCCTGAAACTCCCAGACAACTCAGCGCCGTTGGGCCACCACCTTGCCTGCGCGCAGGTGATATGCGACAGGCTCTACTGCGTGTGAATTTTCACGAGCCATTGGCAGGTGCAACGATTGTCATGCTTGTGGGTGTTGAGCCTTGGACGACTTCGGTTATCGCACCGTTGAGGCTTTCAAGATTCATCCCAGCGTTTCATCCCAAAGATGCTTGTCCATCGGGACGTTTTATGACGTACTGACAGGTTCCGCGATCGAAAAAAGTTTCTCGATGCCCGTGGAGAGCATATTAAGGGTGAGGTAGAGCACGAGTCAGAACTGTGGAGGTGGAAAAGGAGGTTTAAGAAATCATAAAAGTTCTTTGACACCCTGCAGCGAAGCCTAGTGTACATGTCTAGACCAACGCTACAACCTTACCATTAACTACTACTGTAATTGAAAAGTCAACATACGAACTACCACAATGCTCGGCATCGGAGGCCGGCTATCTGCTATCGTCCCCATTATTGCGTCGGCTGTCGCCGTTGCACTTTCTATTGTGCTGCTTGCAGCTGGGACAAACACAAGTAATGGAGGCAACAACTACTGGTTGTCGGTAAGTCGCGAATGTTCCGCAAATGCCCAAAGAAAGAAACTGTTTACTAAGTCGACGTCGTAGCTAAACACATCGAAAATCGGTCAAGACATTGTTCAAATCAAGGCGGCCAACAACACCAATGGCGGAAATGGAGGCGGCAGCATCATCCCGGGCATCCCCGCACCCAACGATCCGACCGGCATCACAGAGGGTCTCGGTAGTGTTCTGGGAGGTCTGCTTGGAAACTTGACGAATGCAGTCGGAGATGGTGTTTCGGATATCCAGGGCCAACTCGTGGGTAACTTGACGCAGCTGTTGGGCGTCAAGGACAACTACCGGCTCTACCTGACAAAGATGTGCGAAGCGACCTACGCCGATGACAACGACCCGAATAGCAAAGTCACTTTTGATAAATGCGAGAGCTACGATAACACAGGAGCTGGTATGTTTCCTCGTCCCTACCATAGTTATGCCAAGGAGAATTTGTGCTAACGCAAAGCTCGCAGGCCTGCGAAACATCACCAACTCAATCCCCTCCTCCTTCGTCGTTGGCACCGCAAATGTCTCCGTCCCCCTCGTGGCCGCCATGGCCGGCACCCTAGACCAAGTAGTCGACCTCGCCAGCGGCGGCGCAAAAGCAATGACGGCCCTCCTCGCCATCGGCACAATCTCCACCGGCATCGTCCTCCTCGCCACGCTGCCCATCCTCATCGTCGGCTTCATGCGCGTCCTCGTCCTCGTCTCCCTCGTCTTCTCCATGCTCGGCGCTTTCGTCCTCCCGTCCTTCGCCATCGTCACGACCTCGCTCATTTACGGCGGCAAGAGCATGCTCAACAAGTCCATGGCTGCGTTTGGCATGCAGATTCAGACGGGCGGGCCGTTTGTGGCCATGGCGTGGGTTGCGGCTGTTGCATCGATGGCGGCGGCGTCGTACTGGTTCATGGTTTGGTTTGTGAGCTTTAGACGTACTGCGTTTAGCAGGCGTAAGCGTACGGAGAACGAAATTGGTAATTGGCGTGGTATTTTCCGCGAGGTGAAGGGGGATATGCGCACCTGGGAGGGAGGAGAGAAATAATTGAGGGGGTGTAGACCGGTTTTGTCGCCTGGAGATGTGGCATCAGGCATGCTGTAATTTTCATTTCAGGACACATGGTTGAACAGTACATACTGAAAAGGGGGAGGTTATGTTGATGTATTAGTAATGATGGATTGCTCCTAGTCTTTGTTGAATTCACTCGATACCACTGCGAACATTTTCCTCTTTATTGCGCAAGTGGTCCTGTCCCCGAAAAGCTGATGCGCAGCCATCGTCACCATGGTGGATAATGACCACGTCTACGTAATCTCTTAATGGACGAGCACATCTCGAGGTCATCTAGAGAGGAGATTATATCTATATCGCCATCCGGCGTTCATGTGAGGAACAAATTATGCTTTATCGCTCGTGAGCTTAACGATGACGTTGGAGCCCTTGTGTTCCTGGTGTTTTTCTTTACAATGACAATACTCCATGCTTCCCGCCTTCTTCCTGCAAGATCCTCATCTATATCAAAAATTACCAGCAGGTGAGCCGTCAGTAAGTACGACCAGTGCCATATTCGGTCCTGTTATGATCCTTGGCCCCAACCTTATGCTTGCTCAATGCGAGTCCCCATATGTAGTCATTTCTTCTTTGAAATAGAAGAACGCGTGGTCGCGGTAGTCTCCTTTCTCGGACGTCCTCGTCCTCTCTTGGGAGTGTTCTCTTGCGATGGGCCAGGTCCCGAGTCTCCCTTCCTAGGTCGCCCTCGTCCCGGTCCTCGTTTACTTTGGCCTTTAGTGACCGTCTTCGCTGGGGCAGAGTTTGGCACCTCTTTTTTCGGACGGCCCCTGCCTTGCTTGGGCATTGCTTTCGTCTCTCCCCCGGCCGGTAGCCGTTTTGGTGCAGAGCGCTTCTTCGTTGGCACAGGCTCTGGCCCAGTAGGCTGACCAGCACTGGAGGCTTTCCGGCCTCTGGGTCTCTTGCTTGGTGCAGCTGCTGTGGGCGCCGATTCGGCTGGGCGTTTCGTGCCAGCTAGTCTGGCACTACGCCGGGGTGCTGGAGAAGACTGGATGTTACCGTTGGCAATGCGCGTCTCGTTTTTCAGCTGGCGAGGACGGCCACGTCTTGCTTGCTGTGGTGTATGGCTCACGGCGCGTTCCTGCGGATCGAGTGGTTTCTGTTCCGATGCATCTACAGAGAGCGGTGTTTTATCGGTTGCGGATTCAGGCGCCTCTTTCCTGGAACCAAGAACCCCGGCGGTGGCTGATCGCGCGATGGGCATAGGATCGGAATGGTGATCGTGACTGTGACCTTCCGGCATCTGTCCGGGGAACGCAGGCGTATCTTCCATGCCCTTTGATATAACCCAATAGGTCTCCGGCTGCTCTTCCCATGGGAGTTCGTTGGTCTCTAGTTCGTCGAGCTCCGAAGGCGTGAAATCCATGACCGTAGCGTCCAGCGAATCAAGGTCATCCATGCTTTGTATAGGCGTCAAGTCTTCGGGCTCTGGGGAGTGAGATTCATCTTTCCATGTCCAGGAGGTGACACCTTCTTCGTCGTACTCATCTCTCCAATCCCCACGAACTTTCCACCTCTCGATGACCTGCCCGATGCTTGAAGTCTGAGGCAACTTATGTTGGTCCTTGAAGGAGATACGACTTAGTCGTTGCTTCTCTTCGGTGACCTCAAGCTCAAACATGAACCAAGGCCTGGAGGTGAAATATGACTCGGCCTGAGAAGCCGTGGCGTCTTGTGCGAGCGCAGGCTGGGGCACAATACGCACATACTCGCCACGACGCAACTTCTTTCGTAGGAGCAATTTGCGTTTGATGAGGCCCTCTTCCCACTTGTGGTCATGGGACACAGAGCCTTCGCCATCGTCTTGATCCCATTTCCACCGCCATTCATAAAAGTTGTCGTTTGGCTTAACATTGCGTCCGGCAAACCCCCAAGCGGGATTCCAGATGCCCAGTCTTCCCCATCGCTTCTTCATGTTGTGGCGCGCAACGATTCCTATCCGGCGGATACCCTTGGGCTTATGGAAGACTGAGCCACGGCAATTCTCAATGATCCTTTTTTCCTCACGCTTTGATTCTGAGAGGTAGAGCTGGCCCGGGCTGATTTGAGGACCCAATGCCAAAGCAATCCGCTTGATTTCGTCCTCATCGAATGGTCGCTCGATAATTGTGTTGGGATCTTCTGGCGGAGCATCGTCTTCGTCGTATTCTGATGAGCTGTCTGAATCATACTGCGGAGGTTCATCGCTCTCGAAGCGCTTGAGATAATGGGTGTGCAAAGCATCGTTGGCGGCAATTGCCTCAAGGAGAGGGTTCGCGCGCTCCTGCAGAGCCCTGCCCAATGCGACTTGGTCCAGATAACGTGGCATAACTCCAATGTCGACCTATTCTCAGGATAGAGAGATGAATGTTGCAGGCATGGATGTGGATGCGAGCTAGAGGATGGCAGGGTCCATAGTGTGAATAGTTGAGATGGATGCGCGAGAGCTTGAGCTTGGGGAATTGGGGAAGCTCAACTTCGATTATCTAAGCAGACGTTAGGATCCACACTTTAGTGCCTAAGGCCCACTAACCTAACCGTTGCGAGGACGGGTACCTTACCCACACATACCCGACGGAAATAGAGCCGGACCATCCGCGCGCTTAGCTGGCCCCGTTTTCATCCATGTCATCAGCCAATCAATACCGCCATCACCAACTTCAAAGCGAGCCGCCGGGCTCGGCCACGCTCCCGGCCACATGCCGCGGTGTTGGTGCTACCGTTGCACGATGTTGGTTGTAGATTCTAAGAAAAGAAGCAAAAAGGCCTGTTGCATAGAGAAATGTTTCGCCATTCTAACCGAACGGAAAGCCGATTAAGCACGCTGAAGTTCTGTCTACTTAAGACAACCAGAGTAAGCGTACTATTCTTTCCGCCCTCCGCATATTTGATCAGCCGGTGTCATCCTCTTTATTCAATTTTTACGCCATATTATCTCTTCACTGCAGATTTAGATATTTTCATTTTCGCCAATCTCCTCTTTGTCACTCTACTTCATTGGTTAGCAACTCGCTAAGAAAAGGTTTAGTTTGCCTGTACTCTCTCGTAAGTTCTCATCCGCCAGTAACCCAAGCTTGATCAAAAAGTTCGAGAAATAACGATCAGTCAGAGAACCTGCCGAGATGGCTTCCCCGAATGCGAGGACTCTCTTTCATCTAGTGCCTAGAAACTCCGTTGCCAAAGATGCGCTGTCCCTGCCTGAGAATCGCCGCTTCGTCTCCACTAGCGCTCTCCAAGAACCCGGCCTGGAGGTCGGATTTCATGTCGCGTCTACAGGAGGCTTCGTGATCGCCAGGCTCGGCCGGAAAGGAGATCTGGTGCTCAATCGAAATACCAGTTCAGAGCCCATGTGCAGAGAACACGTCGCGTTTGAATTCCAAGACACCACCAAGCTCATACATTTGGTCGTCAGGTCGAAAAAGCAAGAGTTCACCGTCGCTGTTGGGCTTCTTGTCGATTCCAGACTCCGACCTCAACGTGGCACACTCTTGGAGAGTGACGATGTCAATAAAGTAGTTGACGGAGAGGTCGTTATGCTCTATGGGCAAAACTACAACATCCAAATTTCATCGTACCGATTCGACCTAGTCTGGACAGTCTCTTCCTCGCGCGATCCACCACATGTCAACAACGAACGCCTCAAGGAACTCGCTTGGGCTTGCTTCCGACAATCCATGTCCATGTTGAAAGGCTTGGGATCTCGCGACTTGCCTACTGGCTTCGAGCGATCAGAGCAGGTTTCACACAGGATCACCAGGCCACGAACAGCGAAGCAGGCACTTTTTCGAGAAAACAAGGCACTTCGTCAGTTTGTGGGAAGAGGCACCTTCGGCACCGTGTACAGGAGCGTTGATGCAGAGACCTCTGCTCCGCTTGCCATAAAGGTGGTCCATCTAGGCAATTATCCCAAAGACAAGGAAGACGGGGCTCGGGCTCTTTTCCACCGAGAGCTCAAAACTATGCAGAGTCTCAATCACGTACGTCTGTCTTTCTTTGAACTTGTCTATCCATGAAAAGGGGGCAATACCGCGCGTAGCCGCATGCCTCCATCTCTGGTCCTGTTGAATCGCTAACAAGATCTCACGCAAAGGTGAATATCATCGAGATTCTGGGCTACGACAAAGTCGATACTCTCGAGCCTGAGATGATTATGCCCTATCGATCTGGCTCGTTAAGCACCTTCGTCGGCCTCAAGATGCCGGAAGCACAATACGAACAAGCATGTCGGGACATTTTAGAGCAAATGCTCTGCGCTCTGGATTACCTTGTCAACTTTGGTGTGGTACACCGTGACCTGAAGCCAGAAAACATCCTGTACGATCCAGGCATCACACCAGGTAGCTACATATTCCAATTGGCCGACTTTGGGCTCGCAAATCACCAAAAGCTCGCGAAAACAATGTGCGGCACCGTCGCGTACCAAGCTCCCGAGCTCTGGCCAGAGCTTTCGGCACTTTCGGAATCGGCCTACAAACAGAGCCACAAGATGGACGTTTGGTCACTCTACGCAGCTTTTGTCGCAATGTCGAGCAAGATGAAGGCTTTTCCGCCCCGTGCTAAAAATAGCATTAGCGTTCATGAGCTTTACAGGAATTCCAAGAAACTGCTCATCGACTCTGTCAAGATTCACAAACAGCTCGCGCCAATGGCTGAGCTCGAACCGGACCGCCGCGCATCGGCTGCGTGGATGCTGAACAGCCTGTTCGGAGGCCGAGGCTTGACGACGCGCCCAGGGAAGATTGAGCCATACTATCCGCCAGGCACTTCTCCTCCCCGCCTTGTGCGCGTTCAAACAGCACCTCGCCGCCAGTGGTCAAGTAACATGGACATCGACGAACCGCAGAACATGGCAACCCCCAAGCTAGCACTCCCGCAAGGTGGTAGAGCGGACGTTGACATTCCAATCATTGTACACACTCGTGCGGTCCTTGATCGGCGAGATGCGCAACTGGTTCAACAGAAGATTCGCAAACAAGGTGGAGGTGTTGTCAAACGTCGGGCCAAGCCTCGACACCCTGTTGCTATTCGATGAGATTCCTCTAATTCTTCCAGTCTTCGAGTGTTTCTGAAGGAGGATTATTTGAGATCCATCACGTTTTGATTATCCGGTCAACTTATCATTTGGAGGAAGAGTTCTTTACGGGCACCTCGATCAGAAAGTAGTTCACGATTGTACATTAGGAGTACTGTACTGGCTTTGAACATTGAAATCTGTGGCGCAGACTACATGCATCAGAGGTATCAGGAAATCGAGCCAGGCGCGTGTTTCGATAATTCAAGTAACGACAGTTCTGAAGATAAAAGACAGGCGCGACCCTCTCTGACATATCAAACTAAGCACAGTCTTGGGGCATTACATCCAGCCACAGAGCCAACAGCTGAGTGACACAGAGTCTCAATCCATCCAGACGGCGGAATTTTGATCAAACTAGCACCCAGAAACGTAGTTGATGGTAGTTAAACACCCGTCGCCCCAGTGCTTGGAACCACAGACTCTGCAGCCGTTGGCGCGGATATCCTGGTAATCATACCACATCTGGTTGCCGGTACGAGCACAACCGGACTTGCCCTGGATAAAGACTCCACACCCATAACCGCCAAAGATATTGGAACAAGCTCCCGTCTTGGGTCTCCCACTCCTAGTCGCAGAAAATGATCAGTATACAAGCAAAGCCGGTTGAATGGCAGAGTGAAGCTGTGAAGATGAGAAGGGTTGAGGAGTTACCCCGGAGCGCCATAATTGACGTCGTTGTTACGGATGAGCTTGTTGTTCACCGCGTCGTCGCAGGCCGCGACTTTGAGAGAGGAGCAGAGGGAGCTTCCCTTGCAGTCGTACGAGTCGCGCTTGTCTAAGACGCCTCTGGGAACAGGAGACATGTCCATGACGAGGTCATGCTCATGAGAGTGCTCGCCGGGGATCGCCACGGCAGAGCAGCTGGCTACAAGGGCTGACAGGAAGAAGAGACTGAAGCGCATTTTGGGCTTTGAAGGTTGCTTGAATTTTGGTACTAAAATCTCTAGTAAAGAGGGAGAGAATAAACAACCTCTATGCAGAACACAGAGGGCCTTTATAGATTTGTTCCCAATCCTCTATGCTCTAACCTAGGTCCGCGAAACTACGCACCGTTTAGGTCATATGCTAGACTGGCTTCCCCCGCTTCAGAGGCACAGCAACCGCCTAGTTGCCAGACCGGACAGGATATGAGGCGTTGCAACCTTCTCAAGGCATCTATCTGCATAGGTGGAAAAGAAGCACATCGATCCCAATGACGAACTTTTGTTCCAGCAACCCACCGGCTGTCGGCAAATCCTCCAAATCCAGTCCATCAGCACTTGGGTCGCTTTTGGCCCCCGATGACACCTCGGTTAGCACGAGCTGCGATATGAGAGCCATTCAATGCCCAGGTATGGCGACCCTTCTGCAAGAAGCTCGGCACAAAACGACAATACCTTGAGAGCCTGCTTTTGTGACCCTGTCGACATGAGGTAATAAGTAGTGCACTAGACGAGGTGAATAAGCATTATGTAGACTGGATGCGCCCATCAGAGTAAAAAGCATCTAGTTGATCGGGCGATTATGCAAAGAGAAGTGGGTGGTCACCATGCAGGTCGGTTGCAGCCGATTGGATCGGCTCAGGTTGAAAAATGCTTAGCAGAAAACCAAACTCGGGCCGCTCCCGTGGCGGATGAGGGCACGATTACCATTTCATGTCTTGATAGGCTATCTACGTCGAGCTGCTTAGTTCCGGAGCCTCTCCATCAACCTGCGGGCTTGAACAGCTTGCTGCCTGATACACCGCTCAGCTCAAGACCATGGAGGTACAATGCAGAGAATTCGCCACGGCAATCTGTGTAGGACTGTTGCCGCTCAAAGTGAGGCTCCGCGGGCCGAGGCTTCACTCCCTTTGTTAAAGGGGATCAGTACATCAGTTTCTTCCGGTGTCAAAACATTTCTTGTGCAGTAGCGTAAAAGCCCCAAACGGAATACAGCCACCTTCTTCGTGTGTTCTGAGTCCTCTTAAACTAGGAGACTAGCGATTTCGGTATGAGGCTGCACCCTGATTTCCGATGCTCTCTCAAAAGGGGAATTGCAGTATATTCTATTGATTGACAAAGAGTGAGGAAAAAACGTCAGCCAAAACTTTAGAAAATGCAGCCTTTGCATTGAGAGTGACGAACTACCCCTCTTTTGTCATAAAAGGTAGTTGCCGTATAAGCGGTAGACGACAGGTTAATTCAACCTTAGCTCAGGCCCACACATTCCCAGTCTACTGTGCCTTCGTGACTAGTAAGTTCCTTGGAACAGCGTGGTCGAGGCAACCTGCAGACATAATAAGCGGGAAAGGCAGAACCATCAACGAATAAGCGAGAAAGTGCAACTTTGTCAAAAGAGAGGCTAGAGCGATACGAGCTCGCCACAATGTAACCTTCCTGTTGTTTCTTAGTACAATAGTACAATGGCAGATCTAAGGTGAGCTATGGGAATTCCTCACTCATCAAGTGCATTTGAACGTGAGGCAAGTATGTTGTCATCCTTACACAGTCTGCCACCATTATTGCTATGATTGGGGACAGCCAACGCAGAGCGATGTATTAATAACTGATTAGTAGCTACCCAATCTCATTTCGGGAGGCTAGTACGCTTCTTGTTTAAGTACTAGAATAGTATGGAGAGTAGTGCTAATTTATCCGCACGATTCAACGAGCCGAGCTTATGCAGCACAATAAACCCTTCCGACCGTGTTGGTCCCCGTCGGCCTGCAGTCACTGTTGCCTTGTGGATTCTTCGACAGAACGGTGACGTCGCGGACGTTGACATAGATCGGGGTCTCGAAAGATTCGTTACACTGCGAAGGTATTTCAGCATGCTATACTGCGCATAAACCGACCTAAGCAAACTCACGCAATAGGTGTGAAGGCCATTCGCTTCACAGCCTCCGTCACCGGCGGTTCCACCGTTGCAGTTCAGCAAAAATGCATTTGCAGTTGCGGCGAAGAGAAGAGTAAAGAGTCTCATTGTGGGTAAATTACAAAAGACGTAAAATTGGTCGATGGAATCTGGTGGATGAGTAAACGTGAATGAGCAGCGGGATTTGATCAAGCTTCGATACCAGAGCGTGGTCATGATTTGTACTTTTCGGACTAACAGCTGTGCGGATACATTTCACTGCTTCAATACGATAAGCTCGGACTCTCGGCAGTTTGTGAGGATTTTAGGACTCGTCAGAAACTTTACTCAATGAAATATACTCAATGAAGAATACTATGGATGCTACACGAAGGCATATTATATTATATTGATGCAAGTGGCTCCTAAACTCTCTTGGCTACATAGGAAACAGATCAGCTACGACTAAACGATCCTAAAAACTCAACACGCTTGTGCGAAAAGTGCTTCAGGTCAGGACGCTCAAAGCCATATTGGATAAATTTCCAATGAATCGTACGCGGAAGGTCAAGGGGAACTTGAATTACTCAAATAAGAGAAGTGCAAGTGGCATGGCATGGCTAATGAAGAGCTTTACGCCAAGCGGGTTATGTTATCGTGACCTGATATCATGAGCGATTATGACATCGAGCTTGCGCCTTTCATTGCGGAAATTGAGCCAGAAGATCTGCTTCAGGGAAAGCAATCTCCCCGTTCTAGCGTAGGTCGAGAGAAGTCACGACTTTTGAACTGTATCCGTGGTATCCGTAGTTCATTTGCATTACCCATGTGCTTAATTATCCCGGCCAGCTCCGCGGAACACGAATGCGAGCTTTGATCCGCTTTCCCCAGTTATATTTGTGGGCAATCTGAAGATGCCATGAAGTTGAACGCTTATAATTACAACATTGTAAACTCAGTTTGAGGTTGACCATTTAGGCGAATTCAACTCTTTGCGGCACTTTCGATTTTGGTGATATAGAAAACAATATCTGCACGTGGTGGCGAAACACCCCAATTCGTACGGGAATTGAACTCATGTTTTTCTTTCCGCGCCAAGGCCGCTACCCCCAGTTGATCTGACACAGCCACTAAAAACATGTTTCTACGCTCAAAAATTCCTAGAGTACAGACAGACTCAGAAATCGCTGGGATTCAGTTCGTCTTTCTGATGTGTTCAGTGTTGCCCAATGGAAGAACTTTGACAAATTTTCTGGCCTTCTAGAATAGATAAGAGCCTCGGAGGGTTTCCCATTGGGAGGTGGCAGTGAGCAAGATTGTTAGCTGGCGATGTGAACTGGATCATGTGCCCGGAACAGGGCGAGCTGCGTCGAAGGATGCACTTCTTAGTTGATCGGTCAAGCTGGGCAGTCTGCCATTGGTCGGCGATTCCGGACGTCGTCGATCTCCCGACAAAGCTGACAACCATCGTCTCCCGACACCGATCATTGGCTGTCCTGGTCAGGCAACACTGGATCGACTAGATTCTGCCTTGAAGTTCGCCACATTCCTTCTGTTAGGCGTTGGGCTGACTGGCGCTGTCACGATGGAGGTTGCTCAACTCTAGGCCCTAAGGCCTGAATTGAAGTAGAGCGTGCACATTTATCTTTGCTTCAAAACCTCCCTTTCCTTCATCTCAAATCACACCAGAACTCTAGCTAACTTTACAGTGGCGTTACTGGTTCAATATTGATTCACTATGTTCGACGGCACAAAAGGCTGTTCTTCCATTAACTACGCGGACTCGCTCGTGACGGTCTGTAGTACCGACAGCTACCAATCCATCTGCTTAGATGATAACAACGGGAACGTCAAATGCAACATGACGCTTGGCAGCACATTCTCCATAGATGGGGATCTTCCTCATTTCTTCTTATCCTACGGTACCATTGCATGGATCAGTAACGTCATTGGGTGCTACATCTGGTTCTGCGTTATGTCAATGCGCCCAGTAATCCAACCCGAAAGATCAAGCACAAAACGCTCGTCTGCTTGGGAGGCTTCGCATACGCTATATACCTGGTGGCAGTTGCCGCCGTCAAAGTCCCTAAGATGAAGGACCGAAACCTCAAGCTCATTGCCATCGGACACGTTGTTGCTACAGTCATCATCCAAGGGGCCATTCTTTGTATGATGAAGAGCAATGCCATGGACGTTACAGAGAAGACGAAGATCAAGAGGGAAGATCAACCCATCAAAGAGAAACCCGACACGACTGTACCGACCGACGCAATGGACAGTGTTAACCCCCGTCCCTCGACAGAGTCCACGCGGTCGAGCACCTCAACGAGTACAGCGGTATCAACGTCAGAAAAGCCCGGTTTCCTGAAAAGCTTTACCAGCAAGATCCCAGGAGTACAGACTGCTGAAGAAGTTTCCGCAACTGAGACCACTGGTGCAGGAATTCCGAAGAAAGAGGAGACAGTAGCAGAGGGACTTGCGAGTATGTTGATGGGCCTGGCATTCTTGTCTCCCGGCCACTTGATGATGTTGTGGGGCACAATACGCCTTGCGAAATGCATCTTCGTAGACCGAGAGAACCATGACACCAGACAACAGCGCGAAACTAGAGACAGCCTCATTCTTTTTGGTATTGTCTACGGGTTGGTTCTCGTCATTAACATTGCCTGCATCCTCAACTTATTTTCTCAGGGTGCCGCGAAGTCTCAGGACGAAGAGAGCGTCAATAACGAGGAAAGGGAGAAAAGGCGCGCCGCAGAAGCAAAGAAAGTGAGAGAAACAGCGTTGTTCGCTGTAGGAATACTGGCTGGGCTTGTAACCGATTGGTGTCGATATTTTGTGCTTGCTGCGGCGGCGAAGGATACACACGGGCTTATGCATCTTGGGGATGTTTCAAATCTCAGCCTAGCGACTTTGATTCTGTCGAAGTTGTTCGTACTGGCCTGTTAGACAGGCTTCGTCAACAGCCTTGAACTACATTCACTACGGGAACAGGGGTCAGCAAGAGCTAGTAGGATGGGTAAGCAAGGATTACGTCGAAGGCTAGGTGAACTGGTTATTATTGACTCATAGTCTGATGCAGGCCCTAAACAGCGTAATCATCGATAGAATAGAAGAGAATTCTGAGCGACATTGGAGAATGTCTTGACTATGATCATCGGCTGTTACCTTGGATAATGTGTTTCGCCTAATCGAGGCTGGCTGCCCCTTTTCAGAGTCGTGTTCGTATGCCGAGATGCAGGGCGGTGCAGAGCAAAATATCCCACTCTTTTGCGACGATGCCTTCTTGGCTGCATAGCTGCCTGTTCGTTGAAATGATGATGGCGTGACAATCACTGGTCACAGGCATTGAATGACAGGGACAGCCAGTCTTGCCACTTGACTAGGGTGTAAGGCGAACCAACACATCATGAGTCGAAAAAGCCGAAATGGCTCTAGCGTTCTTACCTCTGGTACTTACCGTATAAAAGCAACGAACAACTTCTTCAACATCGAAAAAACCTGATACATTGCTTGACTTTTCCCATCTGACGCTTACCTACCAAGATCCCTCTCCAACCTTCAGCATCGCAAAATTCACAACAGTCAACGCAACTGCAGATATGTCAAACTTAAGCAAGTTCGAGCGAAACCCACAGCATTATTATCCACCCTACGGCTACATGGCGTTTATTGATACGGCAAGGACAACCCCGTCGTCTAAACCCACGATTTCATGTTGCCATTGAACCTCTGTCATTATGTTGCACCGACTCACTCTTCATCAAAGGCATCATCCTCCTCGATCTGCAATAGGTGAGCTAACACCCAGTCCTGGTCATTTGCGTAGGGATCCTTGTAGTTCCCAGCTCGGCCGTTGACGGAGGTCGGGTAAATGTACGCACACGATGCGCGCCCATCCGCCTCAAACAAAGCAAGATTATTTCGAATGATACCGTTGGCCACCTTCAAGGCCGCCGCTACCTCGCCTAGGGTGTCGTTCTTCAAGCCCTTACCGTAGTGATGCAGTGCGATGCCGTTCAGCGTACTCCAGTAGTGGGGAAATGTATCTCCCCACATACGATCCTTTCCGAACCAGTAGCCGTCCCAGTGGCGGATCGCGACGTCGTGGAGGCGATAGTCAGGCTGTTTGCCCGCAAAGAGCAGAAGGGTATCACGATGTAGCTTGCCAGCTTCCAGCCACTTGTCATTGCCTGTATAGCGCCAGAGTTCAAGGAGCATCACAGCGGCGGGGGCGACAATGGACTGTTCAAAGTTGACCTCGAACGACGGATAATCCAGTCCTCGTTTCGCGATATTCTCTCCATGGGTGAGAAACAATTCCTTAGCTCTCTCTAGCCATTCTTCGTTTCCGTGCTTTTCGAGTGCGCGCAGGCTTTCTAGAATGGGGAGGCCAATAGCGTACAACGCGCCGCCGCCTTCAGCGTAAAAGTTCTCCAGGGTGAGCATAAAGCGCTCAAGTGGTGTCTTCTCCGCTACTGTGCCGGTCAAATTAAGGTCGAGAGCAGCAACTGTGATGTGAAACTGGAGAACCCAGGGCCAGTTATACAAGCGCTTCTTGCTGCCATCCATTCCGATCGGCCTATCGCGGACAAACCCATTTTCCTCCTGCAGCTTAGTCGACACATAAGTATAGTACTTCTCCAGAGACTGTCGCAACTCAACGTTGTCGGGGTTCTTCTTTAGCCAGCGTGCGATGAGGATCCCCATCCCCACACGTTCGCGGCCGGGATTCCGGTCTGTGGATGTATCCCATGTCGCGATGGCGTTGGCTTGGTTATCGAAGACGCGATAGGCTCCCTCTGCTGGAGTTTCGGGCGTGAGGTCTTGCTGATTCTCGATGATGAATGTAACGCGGCTGGAAATCAAGTCGTGGTATTTTGGGACGACGTTGAGGAAGATTGTGGAATTGTAGCCCTTCTCCGTGGTGACTTCAAGATTCATCCGGCCTGGACGCCCGGCGGTGAAGTTGTAGTAGCAGGTATTGCCATCGCATTGCACTGCTTGGCCATTGACTTTCGTGTTGGCATTGATAAAGGCACCGGAGAGAGAGATGGAACCCGTCTCTCTGGTGATAGAGGTGTAGTTGTCTGTCTCGACCCGCACGAACTGTTCGGAGTGCGCGGCGCTCTTTTTGAAGAAATCGTCCCAATCGCTATGCCAGAACCACCTCCACGCGACTGTGCTCGAGGCACCTGGCTCCAGAGTTGGAAGGGAAGGGTGAAGTAGGAACACGCCTCGCGTGTTGGACAGCGTAACTGGGTCGCGGGCCTCGATACTGTAACCCACCAACGCGCCTTGCGTCAAGACAAATCCAAGATTCCGATATTTCCCGCCCATTTGGTTCAGCTTAACCCAGCAAGAAGCACCGCCAGACGCCCATACATGAGCATGCGAGCGCGCCTCGACGCAATCGCTCGTATTTGTGTAATGGTCATTGAAAGGAGTGTAGATGGCTAAAGACGTTGTTCCTCGGCTGTCCAGTTTGAGAGGTGTGGCGCCTTTGTTTGTGAAAGTGTAGGATTCAGTGAAGGATTGATTTGCGTGGTTGATGCTTCGGCTGACGGAAAGTTCCAAGGGCCCGGCGTTGTAGACTGCGTTGATGGTGTTGTCGTGCTTCGTGATTTGGGGGAAATTCCAGAAGTTACGGTGGAGGGAGTCTTGGCCCAGGTCTGCATAGCCTAGACCCCAACGACTGCCGGCTGGAAGCCAGGGCGCGTTAGAGCCGGTACTAACCCAGTTCATGACATTTTCGAAGTGCGGATCAGTGATTTCGTCGATTGCGCCGGTGTTGTCGTTGATGCTTATACGGAAATCTTGGCTTCTCAGGTCGATGGCCGCGGCGATGCCGCCGAGAGGAATGAAGATGGCCGCCTTGATCATCTTTGGTCAAAGATTCCGGCAGTGCAGCCCGGGAAGATTTCTTTATGATTTCTACGTGCCTTGTAGCTTCTGCACTCTTATGTGTTATCCCGAAAAGGCCTTCGCATATCATTTGACCGAGGTGTCCAGTGGTTGCTGTTCATCTGGGGTGGCGACATGTCAGCAGAACTGGAATAGGAAACTCCTACATGCAAATAAGGCGAAGAAGTCGATTGATCATTCGAGATGGTTATGAGAATGGGGGATTGGAGTGAGCGACTGACAAGGACCGGAGCTATCCGAGCTTGTCAGCGGGAGTAACCCAACGTATCGCGATCCCGAGATCTACAATAGCACTACTTGGTGGGGCAAGGAGATAGCTAGTTTCGGAACGTAACGATACGCGGATGAAATGTGCAACCATGATGCAAGTGACCAGACACCATGCTTGCCATGTTTGCGAATCCCCGTTCGGTTTCCGCCCTATCTATTCGCGAAACCCTCTTTTTATTGCCGGGTAATCTACTCCGAGACCCGAAGACAGGCCTTGTCGTGAAGATCTCTGACATTTCGCTGGTTTATGGCACCCTGCCGACAGACGGTGGCCATAGTGTAACAAAGCAACACACGCAGCTTCAGGGTCTGCGGAGGCACTGGATTCTGGCGCTGACTGATTTCGAAGCAGAACACGAGTATAGCAAGGCAAGAGGCAGGTACGTTTCGAACTCTTGTGGCGACTGTCCAAATCTAGGAATACGAGAAGCAGTTTTGCTCAGTTCTAACAACCTATTCCGTCTTGGAGCTTCTAAGTCGTATTCTCCATTGTCCATGTAGATAGATAACCATGATATGCTCAATTGATACCTTAGAAGGACTTACGCCCTCTAACTAGTAGTTGCCAGCCGCGGATCGAGACGGGCTAACGACGGTGTGGCGTCTACCTTACGGAAACACCGGTCATACTGCGCGAACATATCAATGCGCGAAAGAAGAGGGCCTTGAGTACCTAGTTTGAATCGAGTTTATATCTTTGACCTAGTTTCTCGGTCGTGATTGTGATGTGGTTGTGGTCGGACCGACAACTCTCTTATCAACCTCCTGAAGCCCCAAGGTTGCAGTAGAAATTGAAAAGCTACTTACATCAGGCCAGTCTGCCTTAACACTCAGCACCAGTGCATCGATCTGAGCAGGCGCCGGAGAGATTCCTCTATGCTCATACACGTTTGAACATGTGGACCTGGAATCTCATGTTCTCCAGGCTGACCGGATACTCTAGATCCCGTTGCAACCCATACAAGACGCTATCCTCGGAAATGACCTTTTCCCATGCAGGAGTTGACTTGTCTTTTCCACCTTCAGAATCAACATCCACAGCCTCCTTTTTCGGTTTTGGCATAAGGGCGTAGTTCATGAGATAACTCATCGGATACTTCTTTTTCTCTTCCCCTTCCTTGCTATTGCAGACAGCGGTCTCGGAGTATGCACCAAGACTGTCCACCACAAGCAATAAGCTCCCCTTGGGAGCAGCCTCCGTTACCCTGAGTAGAAAAGAGGTAGTTTGTGATATCGAGGCTGCGTAAAGCTCATTCAGGGTGAAGAGAAGCGTAAGCAGCGCGGGACTAAGACCGATAGCCGCGCGAAGGTCTTCCGTGCTATAACTCAGCACGTTGGCGCGCGTGAAAGTATGACGAACAGTCCCGGACGAGAGGAACGACGCATTTGACGCACGAGCCGCAGCGCTGGCATACTTTGAGAGCGTCGGAGGGGTCTCGAGACATTCATGTAGCATCGAGAGCACAACAGACCAGTCCGCGGTGTCGATCAGGTCAATATTGAGGAGTGTTGGTGAGGTTTCACGCTCTGGAACTGGTAGGGCGTGTAGGTCTTTCGAGGTATCCTCATAATTTGGAGATAACTCTGGCCTGCCGGCTGCGGCTGATGGTTGCACATGACGAAGAAGACCCGAGAAAGCCATGATTTCAGCTGCACCACCCCCGAAACATACAACCTTGGCTGCCTTCTGCTCACGATCGCTGTCACAGCCAATAAATCGTTGGACGTAAGCGTCATCAGCCATCTCCTCACAGATCCAAGCCATGAGTTGCGCGTACGCCAGCGCACGGCTGGGGCTCCAACGGATCGCATACGCCTCCAGATATTCGGCCTTTCCAAAGGCTATGTCAAACTCCCTCGAGAGCAGCGCGCGATTGATCTCCTGCAGCGTCGGCTTCAGAGCCTCGAAGTCGTTGCACGCGGGGAAGGTGGTGCGAAAGACGTTGATCATTGGCTGTACCAGTCCCACCGGGAGGATGTGATTCAGCCTCCGCGGCTCTGCTGATTCCGATGCTACAGATGGACGCTGAGGCTTCTTCCTCTTGTGGAGGTAACCAGGCCCAGTCCAGCCCGGGCGGCCGTGAGATAACGGCGGTGGCGCCTTCGACGCACCGCTGTCTGAGGATTTCCCATGTTTCGGCTGCGACTTGGCTTTGCGATCGTATTGACCCATCGTGAGCTGGTAGCCGGGGAGAACTTTGTTGAAAACCAGGAGTGCGTGAGCCTTTGGCTGCGATTTCTTGTAGAGCTCTAGGCCCGCCACAGATGCCTTGCATTGAAAATTTACCCAGAGCTTTCCTACCCCACACGACCTAGTGTGGCTCCCAATTGGCTTACAGACGTCCATGAAAACGACTAAGCAAACCATCTTTCGTCCACATCGACGAACGCGTCTCACGTTTGACATTCTATGTATTTCTTTACACATAACTTCTTAGTTATGACTGCATAAGAAGGGTAGAAGCAGCCCCGGGAAACTCATTGCTTAATTTTTTAAGCAATTGTTTAACTCCCAGAATTAGCTAAGAATTGCGCGAAGACCTCGTACTAATACTATCTATTAATCAATGACTGAGCGGCAACACAGGGATGAAACCTTAGATGGATTTACGCCTTGTACATCCATCACTCGCCATAGTGTTAACTGACGTTCTCGCCTTCGTCGAACCACTATAAAGGTATTATCCAAGGAACTAGAGAGTTTGGGTTCCCTTTCGCGTCCTTAAGAACTCAGACTGCAATCTCCCTACACATTGTTTGATTGGTCCGTTGTAGTCCTGTTGCGACGCCTGTGAGCATGCATTTCTCTCATCACTGTGTCGATTCTATTTCCCTTGTCCAACAAGTAAAGTGTGAATGAATCTCGACCTTTCACATGGCCGTACGTAGCAAGGAAAAAGGGCAGAGGGACGATAACTAGTGTGGTAGTGTGAGCATAACGCAATCGATAAATAGAGAGAGGGCCCTATACATAATGATCAGAGACCACTCAGGGGCTTCGAGGAACTTCTCTACGTCTAGCGCAAACAGAGAGCTGAGGAATGACAAACACTCTATTGATGTAAGTAGATTCAAATCCGGATGCACTGCGATCTGGACCAGTCTGCAATGGAATGCCAAGACCACTCGAAAATCGGGTAAGTTCCCGCAAGGCCCACCGGCACAATCTTTTGGAACTAGGAGGCAAGGATGAGTAACTCGATGAACTGCGGCGTAGAATCCAATTTTATATTGCCCCTGCCGTGCCGCTTTTCATTCGCTCAAGGTGCCATGATGCAAGGGGAGCAGCACTTTAGGCCCTGCGAGGCTTCCAAATTCACACTAATCGGATTCAATTTTTCAATGTTGGCAACATTGCACTTACCTGCGAGACTTTTGTGTCTGCTTTTGAGAGAGAAAGAAGGTGATGAGGGACACCAAAGGCGATGAACGATAGACTGTTGGAATGGCTGTTGGCCTAATTATGGGTTTCTCGTACGATCTCGGACAATCTTCGTGAACGCTAAGGTAGAAGGAAATATATACGCTCATCCGACATACCCGAATAATGTTTATTCCAATACGAAAATCCTCAAAGAGATCCATTGATTCAAAGGAAACAGCTGAACCTGAGAGCTCTGCTGAGGATCAAAGCTGCTAGATAACGTTTTAATCCAAGAACTGTGTGTTCCTGGGACACGATGCTGCGATCGTTCCAACTTAATAATATCACTCTGGTGAATTTGAGGCGCTCCCGATATAGCCGGAGAAATACAACGTGAGAATCTAGCTTGTGTTCTGGTTAAAGTGTTCGACGCTCTTGTATGTGGAGGGCCACATCACGACGAATGTTTCGATCTCGTTCAGTATTCGATGGCTTCAAGAATCCTACGATCTCTTTCAATCACCACATACGACCATACCTATTGGAAAACTCGGGATCCCGTCCGCTCTCCCATAGATAAGCCAATAAGGGCCGGATTAGTAGTTGGGTCGGTGACGACCAGCGAATACCTGGTGTTGTATGTTTTTGAATAGGTCTTTTTTTGATATCTATAGGTGTATATACTCTTGCGGACAGATCTTTTCATCTCCAGATCATTTTGTTGCGATTTTGAGCCACAAGCCAAGTTGGCCTGGTGTCTTGACGTCGATTCAGTAAGTTTCGAATGTCAAATAGTTGAGAACTTGGTCATACCTGAGGGCCTTGCGCCCTGCTTGGCCAAGTCTCGGGCGATATATGAGTTCTTGCTCAGTCACGGCGATCAGCTTACAATGAACGGAATTCTCTCTTCTTCTGTGCGCGAAGCCAATACTTATGTAGGAGGGACGGAAACACTCTCGTTTGCCGATTGGCCGAACTTCCAGGTTGTTGAGCCTTCACATTATCTAGAAATGTATGAATAAGCTTGATTCCAGGGAAATCAAGAAGAGTCAGTGACTTGGCAAATCCTAAGTCCTAAATGAAAGTAATTGATTAACATGAGCTACCTTTCATCGACATCCCAATGTCAATCTGAATCCTCGGACAAATCAATGGGGATGAAACTCCGCGGGGGAAGATTACATGGAGCCTCTGTAATTTGGAAAGAACTCGGCCGGGGAGCCCTCATGAAGAAAGCTTATTGGTATTTTCTCGACATTTTGACAGCTGCGTAGCTAGACCATGTGAAATGATAGATAGATCAATCAAATACAGATCGTTAACGTAGATGATGAAGTTCATGCGCTCAGGACGTAATTATGCAAGGTGATTGAGGTAATTACTTGCCATATTGCAGGAGACACGACTTTTAGGACTGCGTCTATCGTTTCCTTGTAAAGCTGCGGTCAGACACAAGTTTTTAATTATTGCCGAAGTCGTAAGTTCATGTTGAAGAACACTATGGAATTTAGGATTGATGATGGACAGACCGGCTAGCCGTTTGACCCGTCTTCCGGTTTTGCTAACTTTGGTTACTCGGACTAAGTTGATAACTCTCGAAAGCTCTTTGACGATTGAACGAAGCTCTACTCTATGAAAAAAACGCACCGATCACTCTCGGTCTCGGTATTGGCATCACTTGCCAACAATATCATGTATTCTGCAGCCGTGATATCCGTTGTAACAATATCAGCCGGAATATCCGAATTCATGAGGCTAAAGTCGCGATGCTCACCATGAAGAGGCCTTGAGCATCGGACAACGTGGCAATAATCTGACGGGACCGTACACATCGAAAATGGACCGGAAGTATGACCGTCGTTCCGGTAGGCTGAAACCACAAACAAAGAGCTGTGGCGAATCGGAACTGCTGTTGGATCACGACCAAGCACTGGGCGAGTTCAGCCTTCCCTTCTAGACGCTCGGCCTTGCTCAGGGCACCGACCTCCGAAGAGAGGCTAACGGAGGACAGTCAAGTCCACCTGCGGATTATTCTTTGCCGCTTTCCATTGAATAAGTGACGTCAAATTGAAGGTCGGGGTCAGGTCCGTCGCACAAGTCAGTTGGTGTATCACACATCAGATGAGACCAGGCACACACTACAAAATTTACGTTTGTGGTGAGACTCCCGTCCGCGGTGTGGCGGCCCTGTTCTCCTCTCCTTGACCGTTTAGAAAATCTCCCGAAAGCTTTCGATTCTCATCTCATACAGTATTTCATTCATGCCAAGAGATGGTCTCATTTTCGCAACATCACATTAAGCAGGCGAGTCAGTGGCAAAGCGGTCATCTGAAAGACGGTACTAGAGAGCTCCACGGCGTCCAACACCAAATGTAACATCATTATTTGCATAGTAGTGGCACACGTAGTGAATTAGCAAGTCAAAAGAAAGAATCCGATGACTTCCGCTTCTATCATCTCATTGATGTTTAAGCAGCCCGAACCTAGCCTGGTACTGATCGCCGTTGGCATCATGGACGACCTTGGCATAGTCATGTTCTGTTTGGAATCAGGCGTTAGATGTAAGCAAGGTCCTTGGCAGTGAAGAGAAGAGACAAGGTGGCAGAGGAAGCTCTTTGTGTTTTCCAGCTGCGATCGGCCAATACGGCGATGTAGTCTTTCTGGTAGGGGGCAAGAAGTGATGTCCAACGTGGTGAAGATTCATCCTCGGCCTAGAACATGCGCTCCTTCGGCCCGGCATCGATACAAATCGTGAGGCTGACGATAATGTACGGGGGATAGGTGCTCTTTCCCATGATCAAATTCCTAGGCTACAGCTTGTTGAAATATCCTCATTAGGTTGTTTCTCCGTCCTACCCCTCGTCATCAAACGCGCGGGAGACAGTCGCCTCCACAAGACCAGATCCACAAGAGCTGTTGTGGGCAACAAAATCCTGATCCGGTGTTCCCGTAGTTTTGATTATGGAGCAATCACTTGAAGCCCCATTTTTAGCCAAGAGCGGGATGTGGGAAAGTTGTTAGCTTGCTTTGATGAAGCTTTGGATGTCACCAAATGACAGCTCTTTGACCTCCACATTGAAAGCTGCAAAGGTCTTGGCAGTGGGGTTCTGATCCAACATGTTTCCTGGTGGCTTGGCATCAGACGTTGTAGACATCGGGGGATGTATGGTCTACCTTGATCGATCCACCAACGCCATACGCGACAATGTGCCCAGAGATACACTGTTGGAAAGCAATTGAACTTGCTGACAGCTTCGTAAACAACGTCGTAAGCCCATTCCATACTTTCGTACTCACTTGCGTCAATACTGCTGTATTCGTAACGCAAGAGTTCCGACCTCCGAGTGTGGACTGAGAACCCCAGCCTATGTGAGACTCTCTCATACAGACATAGAATCACATAGAGAACCCTAACGAAGGCCACTAACAGGGCCTTGTAGATGCAACCGCCAAGATTCCTTAGTTTGTGTTAGTGTCAAAAATCCAAAGCTTGGCTCGAATGCTGTGTACACACGCGAAGACCCTGCTGAAGGCCATCTCTCAAGGCAGTGTCCGTGCCATTTCTGGAGCAGAACACCCCGAAAGGTAGGAATACACGGGCTTTCTGCGCGGGGTCTTGGACCTTGATCGTTGACATCTGCAATGCTACCTCTAGTATCCCTGACGCCCTCGTGCTCTTGTGCTATTCTAGCCTGGTCTCGTGTGCCGCGGAACCGGGGGGATGCGCCTAGTGTTTCCTAGTGCCCGCAGTATCCTGGGACGTCTGATCACGATGTCAGGTCCCACGACAAAAGGCCACCTCTGGCCTCTGAGTAGCTCAGATTTCAATATTCATCTGACGTGCGGCGTTTTGAACTTCATCGGTATTATTGTCTACAACAACCTGAACCCTTCGAGTGGCTGTCACCCAATTTCTCTGCAGGTTTCGTCGTACGACCTCAGAGCCTCCCGCTCGTAGGAAACATTCTGTAGCGTCTCAGGATATGTAGTTGGAGGCAGTTGATCCTCAATCTCCAACGGTTCACTGCAGTCTAGCCACAACGAGATGAAAAGTTGAGTCCATCAGAAAAACACTCATTGAGTAAAGGGAAAGGGTCAAGGGGATATCATAAAGCGGAAGCGAGATGACGAGGGTGTCTACAACAAGCCCTACGGAGCCTTGGCCTTGGTGGATAATGACAGATACTCCTATCGACAAGCGTACCGGTAATTTCATGACGGTCTCCCTGAGCTCTTCCAATTTGTAGCAACTTGCGATCGAGGAATGAAACCCATTGGCTGACGAGACTCGGGCAGGCGGAGCCTCGAGCTCCCCGAGTCTGGGTAGTCCCCTCTTTGACGCCGAAACGCGGAGGCGTTTCGCGGCGGGCCAAAGCGCCACCTATCCGTCGTCTTGGAAGACAAGCAAGACAAGGTCAAGGCTTCCTTTACCGAAGGCGAGATCCCCAGACAGAAACAAAAGTTGGAGAAATTCCCGAGATGAATGCCTTGGATAATGTCAAGGCCCGCCGCTGGGCGATGGTGAGGCTGTATCTCGTCGGTATGTTGTGTTGTATGCGCGCGGGTATCTTCAACATCCCGCGTGCAACTTCGCATTGGATACTAGCGAGATCTTCCGGTACGACTACGGATCGGCACATCTTATTGCGACCCTTCCAATCATGCACTGCCGTTGTTTTGACGTGCTAGACATGGGAATGCCTATCACACGGGTTCAGTGTCAAGTTACATCGATCTCGAAGGATGAATCTCTTGGTGTGGATATAAGCCTCAACGGCATGCCAAGTAAGTGGTGATAATATTAATTGCTACTAATGGTGGGTGGTGAAAATGGTGTATGGCCAGACTTATTTTCATTGTGTCGGCCGAGAAGGGGGCCTGAGACGAGAGAGTCGGCGTTCTGTGACGCTGCGCATCGGTGTGGTTTCCTGATGAGGCTGACTTCGTCCCATAATTGCATCAAACTTTAGCCACTGGAAGAGAAGGAAATGAGCTTTTCCGTGGGTAGACCGGCTTTAAAATTTATCAAGTCCCTATGCTCAGAGGCGATTCCTACCAGACAGCCAGAGATCCGGGTCTGGAGCCGCGAGCATTGGAGCTATTAAAGACGCATTCAGGTTGCGTAGTAATCGCCGCAGTGGCCCAGAAGTCTGGACGACAGAAGCCAAGTCGTTCTCGCGAATTATGATTTGGCGTGCAGTGTAGACTTTGGAGTAAATACCAGCTTGGCTCATTGCCAGACCTGCACTGGCTACAGCTGGGAAAAGCCTCATCAATAGAGTGTGGGATTGGGTAAGTTTGGCTGGGTTCTGCTGGAGATGCGTTTCTCGGCGTTAACTCAAAAACAACAAAAATTCAGATGGTGCTAATGTACCCCGCGTATCTTCTAGCCGTAGATACTAGTGGCGATACATACGGGCCGGTCCCGTCAAATCGCATCTGCATGCAAATGATCAGTTGAATCATGCGGGCCTCCCGGAAAGGATCAAGGCAAGACCTGTACCCCTTTGTCCAAGAAGCATTGACGAGAGGGGTCGCAAGGCGCGAGGGTCGAGGGAGGGTAGGGAGACAGGCCAGGTCTCCAGTTTACCGAAACGTCGTAGAAGACGTCTGGCACTTGGTTGCCATAATCAGCATATACAGGTCTGATTCGACAGTGGCAAGGGGAGGTCTGGTGTCTTCTGACCGTCATATAGAATGGAATTTGGGATGTTGTTTGCCTCAGGAGCAAGGAGCCGGCCTGAATTGAAACGATGTGTAGTACACTTGGCGGACAGAGCGTCCTGGTGGTGCCGTGATGCCCCGACGGCATCCGACGAGAGTCGTTTAAGCTCGCACCGCCAACTCCAAGGTCCAAAGCTGGGGTCTGAGGGTTTGGGTTGGGTTTTCCTGGTTGTCCGTGAGTCCTAGAGGTGTAAGACCACCACCCACCAGCCTTTCCCACTCGCCTCCTACTCGGAGATAGATCTTCACTTCATAAAAGAGAAAGCCTCCCTGCCCACTTTCGGGAGGTTTTATTGTTTAGTTCGCACGAGGGCGAAAGGCAATTGCCAAGACAAGAGACTAAAGTAATTGAGCAGGTCTTGAATTTCCTTCTTTTGGATACGCACAACAAATTGCCCATCATGCTCGACTTCCTCCGCCGTCACAATTACAAGGTGACACGTCACATCACATCTAATCTGTTGATGGTCACCTTGGTGTTTGGCATGAGTGTATTCACATTCGGATATGAGGGATCAACACTCAACACCATTCAGGCTATGACGCGTGAGTATCTTATTATGGTATGATAACCGGGAAGGACTAGCTGACAACGGGCTCTAAGCGTTTGAACAACGGTTCGGCGACTACATTCCAGCCAAGAAGGCTTTCGGGTTCACATCAAACAAGCTGGCTTATATGAACTCATTTCCTCTCCTCGTATACGCTGTCGGTGTAATATGTGGAGCTCAGATCGGCGAGCGATGGGGCCGGAGGCTGGTATTCATTCTCACCAACATTGTCTGTATGGCCGGAACCATCATCGTCTACACTGCAAAGAATTACAATCAGCTACTCGCTGGCCGAATGATTGTCAACTTCCACGTCGGCATGGAGGCATTCCTCATTCCAATGTTCCAAGCCGAGATCGCACCAGCAGCGGTTAGAGGCTCACTTACAGCTATCTACGGTGTAAACGGAGTTTTCGCAGCATTCATTGCGTCGATTATCACCGATGTTACGAGTAAGATCAAGGACGACAACTGCTGGAAGATTCCCGTGGGCATTGGTTTCATCTTTCCGGCCTTTTCCTTGTTCTTCTGGGTTTTGATTCCCGAATCCCCACGGTGGCTTCTTCGGAAGGGGAACTACGCCAAGGCGGTTGAGAACCTGGACTATCTTTACGGAGCGATGCCGAACTACGACGCCGAGAAGGAAGCCAAGCTTCTCCAAGAAGCCCTCAACACGAGCGAGACCACTGGAAAGTGGAAAGACTTGGTTAAGGGCACGAACTTGGTGAGTAACTTGTTCCACGGTACAATTTATCCGCTAATGCGTAGTCTAGCGTCGTACCGTCAACGGCCTCATCGCTGCTGCACTGGCTCAACTTTCAGGTGCATCATTCTCCAACTTGTACGGCACAATCTTCTTGAAGAGCTTGAAGGTCATCGACCCTTTCATGGCAACCATGGTCAAGCGAGGCCTCTTGCTTGCGACCGCAATCACTTTCATGTTCATCATCGACAAGGCCGGTCGCCGCCCGCTTTTCTTGTACATGGGCTTCATGCAAACAGCAGTTCTCATGGTCATGGGTGGGCTGGGTACGATTGCGCACCCGACAGTTGATATCAACAAAGGCATCGTTGCTTTGACGATGATGTTTCCCATTTTCCACTTCGTGTCTTTCGGAGGCCCGTAAGTTGACCCTCATCAACGTGCATAGCGACCATAAGAAACTTTGTTGACATCCTATACAGTTTGCAACTTACTAAGACCGAAATTCCCCACATCACACTTCGAGACAAGTCGGTCATGCTTTTCTGGCTGACTGCTAACCTTTGCAACTTTATCTCAACTTTCACGTTGCCTTACTTGCTGCAGGAACCAGCGAACCTTGGTTCCCGGGTCGGCCTGATCTACGGGTCGATCTCAGCCTGTGGCCTGGTCTGGGGTTGGTTCTGCATGCCCGAGATGTCTAGGAAATCTCTTGAGGAGATTGATGAGATGTTTGCTGCTGGCGTCCCAGCTTGGAAGTCAAGACGTAAGTTCATCACCACATACAGAACGCGACACCAAGGTCGGAAAACTGACTCGGGAGCAGATTGGCGAGGCGAACAGACTGCTAGGATCACCGAGTTGGAGAACAACGGTGTGGTGCCTCGCGACAGCGATAGTGAGAGGAACAGCATCGCAAAGTCTGACTTACAGCCGGTTGTCCAAGAAAAGCCATCTAAGGTCTGAGACCTAGATCTGCACATTCTGTAAATATTTTTACGACAATCGCATGACACGAGTACATGAAACAGGGTTAGTATATGGTATGCGAGAAGGATAGTAATGATAATATCTGACTGTAATAAACCCCTGGTTTTGTTCTACGATACTCGTGACCTTGTTGAGATCGCGTGGCTTTCGGTGCGTGGGTGCCAGCCAGCGTTACTTCACTAGCTCATCGTGATTCTAACTGGACGGATTCGAGGGTTCCGAAAGTCTACCACCGGTGCCCCACGAAGGTTCAACTAGGCATCGTACGCTGTTGATCAAGTTTTCACCCAGCATATTTCAGAACGTCCCAAGGACTCCTAAACGTCAGAAAGGAGACGGCTGTGATGGCTGACTTTTGGAACTCGTAGGGATCTTCCTCGCATTAAAACGTGGCGTCTTCCAATCAAAATACAGATCTCAGAGAACATGCCGCAAGGCGGCATGTGCAGATAACCGTAATTTAGCGTTGGCTCTCATGATTGGTGATCGCCGCCAGGGGCTTAACTTTCTGCGAGACTCTTCTGCGGAACCTCATCTCACATCTCCAATTTACTTCTGAACGCTCTTTTCTTTCGACTCAAAAATTTCTAGACTCTAGTGGGTATTCGTTATCTGTTTTGTAAGCTTGCCGAACAATTTAGCGCTCTCTCTTCTGGGAATGAGGCTCAATCTTGGGAAGCGAACTGTTCCGTTCGCCAGCGAAACAGTGTCTAATGTTGACTTTGTTTCCCTTTGATCAGATGGCGCGCTCGGACGAAACACCCGACGAGTTGAGAGACAGTCTGGCCGAGGCTACACCACGGGCGGCCGCATGTTACTGCACAACTCACCATCAAACAGGGAAAAAATGAACGCAGCTGCTACTGTAGGTGTACCCAGCTGGCGATGCCCCTTCGAACTGCGGTCTCTCCCGCTCGGTGGGATCCACTCGAGCTGCCGGTTCCCGAGAACTTTACACCAGGTTTGCCGACAGACGCGATCGGCGCGCTGCAGTAGCCTACAGACTTTGTTTCTTTTTACGTGGTATTGAAGCAACTCTGGCTGTTTAATAATACCTCCGACTCCGAGAACGCGTGTTTTTTGCTTATCTAGTAATTGAGTAACAAAAGCTGCGGCTGCTATAGCCTGGAGGTGCCCGTACGACGAACTCTACTTGCGTAGATCGGCTAAGACTGTCCTACTTGGCGTCCCCGCGCTACACCCTCCACAACCCGTGCTTCCACACATCGTGCTGAGCTCAAATACCGTCCACCTGCCACCTCCTGCATCACCAGATCTTTGCTCACTCCCGCAGCGATCTGGTATCATTCCACCTACATCTTTTTGCCGTCTCTACCAGTCTGTCGAAGCAGCGGTGCCGAAATGAGAGTTGCGCTTCCTTGCTCTGTGGCCACTCTAGGCCTGGCTAGCCTTAGTGTTGCGCTGGCGACGCCCAAGAGCTACTCCGTCGACAGGACCTACAGCCTTATGTCTGACTTGGGAACGAACTTCACGGTTTATGAGCATGCGGCGACGAGCTCCAGAACAAGATACGTCCAGGACTCGGGAATCTGCGAGACGACCAAGGGCGTCAAGCAATACTCTGGCTACTTCGACGTCGGTAAGTCTTCTTCCTCACCTCAATTCTCACCATCCTTGCGATGACGCCAGAGATGCTGACGAGATACCTCAGGTACCGATCAAAACATGTTCTTCTGGTTCTTCGAAGCTCGCAAAGATGCGAATACGGCCCCCGTCGCTCTGTGGCTAAACGGTGGTCCGGGCTGCAGCTCCATGCTCGGCCTTTTCCAAGAAAACGGGCCATGCACCTTCAACAAGGCCCCCGGCGCAGATCCCATTCTGAACCCCAACTCATGGAACAATGTTGCCAATATGGTGAGTCCCCGTCCGTCCCGGTGTGTGATTGACACGGCCCCACAAGCTTAATACAACCGCGCTCGTCCTCTTACCGTGCTGTCTCCGCACACTCACATTGTCTTTCAATGCTATTACCCCATGTTCCATGCTGACGGCGGCATGCTCATCAAAGCTCTACGTGGATCAGCCAATCGGAGCCGGTTTCAGCTACGGCACGAGTGATACAGACAGCACCGTCAAGGCCGCGCCAAAAGTCTGGGCGTTGATGCAATCTTTCTACAGCAAATTTCCCGATTACAAGGGCCGTGAGTTCGGTTTGTTCACCGAGTCTTACGGCGGCCACTACGGCCCGGAGTTCATCGATCACTTCCAGGCTCAGAATGACGCTATCGACAAGGGCACTGTCAAAGGGGAGAAGATCAAGATTGTCGCTCTCGGTATCGGAAACGGATGGATCGACCCAGGTATGCGAACTTTTCACGGCGTTGACGTAAGTTGAGATGATGGATGCTGACAACGCGTGACAGTCGTCCAATACAAGGATTACCTGGAGTATGCGGTGAACAACACGTACAACAAGATCATCGACCAGCCCAAGTTTGATGAGCTCACTAAGGCCTATGAGAAGGATTGCAAGCCTGCGATGGAAAAGTGCACTGGCCTTGAGGGACAGAACGAAGCTTGCGTGGCCGCTGAGAATGCGTGCTATGCAGCCGTTGAAGCACCCATCGAAGCGGCTAAGACTTTTAACGTGTACGATGTTAGAGCCGCGGACGACAAATTCCCTCCTGGAACTTATCAGGCATACATCAAGAAGCCTGAGGTCATGAAGGCGATCGGTGCCAAATCTGAGTACCAAGAGTGCCCTCAAGCACCATACGATAAGTTCACCTCGACCGGCGATGGTAAGTGTACTTAACGCGAATTAACCACATTTGAAGCTGACTCAGCTGCTACCAGGTCAGCGATCTTTCCTCACTAAACTTCAAGATATCACAAAGAAGGATGTCCAAGTTCTGATTTGGTCTGGTGACGCTGGTAAGTCTCGGCATGTTCTTCTGAGATGTTTGTAACATTGCTGAGTATCGCCCCTAGACTTCATCTGCAACTATATTGGCAATTACAACGCAGCGAAGAAGATCGGGGGTGAGGAGTTCGAAAAGGCAGAGATGAAAGATTTCACAATGAACGGCAAGAAGATGGGCGAGTACAAGAACATCAAGAACTTGAGTTGGCTGAGGGTTCATGAGGCGGGTCATGAAGTGCCTGCTTATCAACCAGAGGTTGCTCTGGAAGCCTTCAAACAGACTATGGCGAAGAAGGGTATCTCTTCCCCGTGAATCGTTATGACCTAGTCCCCTAAGTAGCAAGCTTGTAATAACCATTCTCTCTTTTCACTCAGAAGCCGCAGGATGGACATAGGTTTGCCCGAGGAGAATGTTTCATGGATATCTAACTCGAACTGACTTCTCCAACACATTGAACTAAGATTGAGCAGTCCACGTCTAGCAAATTGAGTGATGGCATATCTACAGTATCGAGCGAAAAGGACTGTAGCGGCTCAAACATGCTGTTTTGGGATAATAATGTATCAAAGAAGAAAAAGAAACCCGCATGAGGGGGATTCTCCACCCGCTTCCACGGACTCTCGGCAATTGAAAGGCAAACGCCCGATTTATAAGCTAACACTCAATTGCCTGCGGGTTCGGGAAAGCAATTAAAGCTCCAATCGCTACTGATTGATACTTGCGTCACATCTGCTGTGAGGGAGATGCTGACACGAGACTAGGACAACAAAGCATGTCTCGAACTCACGTCGTTGAAGGTTCATGTTTCGTGCTGCGCCGTACGGATGTTCTCACACAAAAAACGATTGACAAGATGCAGACACTTTCTGGACAGCTATGCAACAAACCGAGCGGTGGATGCTGTGCAGTTTACAAATCTGATGGAAGGAAACTCTCCAAGGACCTCCCGGAAGATGAAGAGAGTATGCTGTTTGCAGACTTGGACATGGATTGGATTATGGAACCAAAGAGGTTTCTGAATACATGCGAGCACTATAGTCGTCTCAATCTCCGTTGGCTAGGTTCTGATCACGAAGAAAAGTGGAACATACGCAGCGTCTAGGGCAACGCAAAAGCCAAAGAAATATGGATGCGTCATGTGACACTAGTATGGATAAGGGATAAAGGTGAACCCAAGCTATAACCTTTCGGTTGTCAACCTAGATTCGAGGCCGATGTGGTTCAGTGGAATGCAAAAGGTATTGATGTACCCAAGTTAGGGAGCTAACTTTTCCAATCTCTAGGTAACTCCGTCGTAGCTTACATTCAGTTGGAGGATTTACCGGAAAGTCGGTTAGAAGAAGTTCACTTGAACCTACCAAGTTTTCGGGACAATCCAGAGCATCTACTTATGTACTTCGAACGATCATTTGACTAACTGGGAAAGGAAGTTTCAATAGAGAGCATCATAAGCTTTAATTGGAATTATTCTAGGGTTGAAAGATTATGAGCCGTTCTATCGGACTGCTCTCATGATCTAAACGATAGCATAAGTATTTTGCACAAGTATCTGAAATGTGCATGTCATTACTACCCCTTTGATCTCAATTTGATGGAAGAGACTTGGGCGACAATCGTGGGTGGTTTGCCCACGATCTTGGTTGGCCTGAGTAGCCTGGCGGCCATCAATGGACTCACGCGCAGTTCCGAACCATGGAAGGCCGAAAGCTAATAGACAAGGTTGGGTCCCAGATTTACGAACTTTCCGCCAGACGCCCGGTCAGAGGGCATAAAAAGATGCCTTCCCCTTCTCTAATTCCCAGCAGATCAACCATTCATCCATCCATCCTACATATACCATTCTTCAGACTTCGTCTCTTGAGCATTCCACATTAAACAACCCACTATTCCACTCACCCAATTCCTCTTCATCTACAAACAACTTTCACAATGTGTGCTCATCGCTGCAACAAGCCTACAAAGAAGTCTTCCACTGTCAGCGAGATGACCAATCTCAAGACAGCAGCCAAGGCCAAGGCCGACACTCAAGTCGAAGCCGCAGGCCAAGCCAAGGTCGAAGCTCAAGCTCCAACAGACAGCTTCCACTACTTCGCCAGGTTCCCTTGCGAGATCCAAGTCATGATCTGGAAGGAGTTCTACCTCGAGCCTCGTCACTTCGACGCAGTCATCCACGACTACCGCCGCCCAATCAAGGGTAACGGCAACAGACTGGACAGAGAGGAACGCGAAATCTCAAAGCTTCATCTCAAGGGCAAAGAGGAGTCGATCAGCAACTACAACGCCATCGACAATCAAATCAACTACCTATCTCGTGAGATCGCACACTCTATCCGCCAGAAGGTCCGCATGCCTCGCTTGGAGGACACCGACCAGGGCTTGGGCTTCGACATCGAGGTTCACAACCGCCAGACCTCTCGCTTTACGGATGTAGTCTCCTTCAACTCAACCATTGACGTCCTCCACATGAAAGCTCCCTTATACAGAATGAGTGTCTCATCTGAGTTATCAGCCTGGTGCAAGAGTATCCAGCACGCTGTTGTTGAGTACAGTGGTTACGAAGACCCTCGTCGCACTATCGATGTTGCTTGCAAGGCTAAGAGCAAGAAGCGTAGCGGCAAATGGCGCGCTGTCTTCTCTGGTCTGAAGTCCTTGGAGGCGCTGTACATCTAGCTCGTCACACATTGCAACATGCAATGGACACATCAACTACGACAGCTAGCGGCACTGGGCTCGTATCCCTTTCATAGCTTAGGCTCGTGTTCCTACTATACACTGGGCCGGTGTCTCAACTACACAGATCTGCTGTCATCGAGTCATTGGATGGATTGACATCGACACAGGTATGAATCGGGAGTGATTACATCGGAAGGGGTCTTCTGGTGCTGCAACCCTGCAGACGCTCATCGTTGAGAGATGAACTTGGATGAATCATGCATGAAGCTGGCTAAGTACTCAACAGAGGTACTCAATAGTTACTTGGGAAGGGTGATTCTGAGCTAGAACGGGTGCTTCGGCTCATAGAACATTGATACCACATTACATATCCCCCAATAAAACTACGATGCTCATAAATATATTCTGTCCTTCCCGTGGGATTATCCCTTCCAAACATGTGAACTGAATTGAGACGCCGATTGTCGGTTTCGACGATGCATTGATTTTACGAGTGATTTATCCCGGACACCAGCATCAATTGAAGGGCCGTCATAATTCATTTGCAATATTGTATCCCGTTGGAACGAAGAAACTGGATAGCGCTTACAATGTAACAGGCACGTTCCATACTCTCCTGCCCCTGGCATCTAGGGACTTTTCTTGAGCCTCGGCTCCGTTCACAACCACAGTCCTCTCTTCTCCCACGGGCAGCAGCACATCAACGCCCTTCTCGAGCCACAGAGGACTCCACTTCTCCTTTGAGCCTTCTGTAACAACAGTCTTAACCTCGACCGAGATCCGCTCATCGACAATCTCATATCGGATCGTAAACTTGAATTCGGCAGGCACCTCGCGGCTGATACCATCATCCTCGTACCAGCTACTCTCGAAAATCACGCCCTTCACATCATCACCGCCCAGCTCCGTCTCAGATCCCTGAGCAGCGGCTCCACGCAGCGAAGGCGGAGGGAAGATCTCCACGCCGCGCCAGTCATCCTTGGCTTGGTTCGGGAACTCTGGATCCGTCTCCTTGACCGAGGAGGTATCGAGCGGCTTGCCAACAGGAACGGCCGAGCCAATCCTTCCGATGACGGGAATGGAGTTATACCAAGGCGAGAGCACAGTGTGCCACTTACCCGCCTCAAAATGCTCATATGGCGCATTTGTGTTGAGGAAGCCAAAGTCGCTACCGTCGCCCTTCTTCGGGAGATACACCCTCGCGGTATCGACACCAGGCTCGTAAACACCACCAATGATGAAGGCATCGCCGAACCAGAACTGCGTATCGCCGTCCTTGATCGCCTTGGTCCAGACCTCCGGGTCAGCCTCATAACCCCAGCCGGTCCAGCGCTGTGGCGGGACGGCGGTGTGGTGGGCGCGGAGGTTCTGAGAGTATGTGTAGGGGACGAGCTCGTAGCGGCGCTTAATGGTGGCGCGGATGATGGGTGTCGCGGTGGGGTACATCCAAGGCTCGATGACACCGCCGATGAGGTTGTCTGCCTCGCTGGTCTTGAAGCAGTTGATGGCGAAGCGCGGGGAATGGACGCCGAGCTGAATCCAGCGAACGAGATGCTCTGGGGTAGGTTGGGGGCCTTCGAAGCCACCGATATCATGGCCGTAGCACTGGGGAGCTGTTAGTCAGGGTTTGAAATGAACAGGATTCGATAATGCTTACGTGAAGGAGGGAGAAGCTGGCGTTCAAAGCCAACGAGTTTCCGCCTCTCATGGACTCCCAGGCGGTCACGTTGTCGCCACTCCACGAAGCACCGCAATACTTCATGGTCCCGGCTGTGGCACTACGCGTGAGAACGAAAGGTCGCTCCTCGGGCTTACCCTCGATCGTGGCATCATGAGAAGCCTTGCCCATAAGCTCGGTGTGAATAGCGCGACCCCAAATACCAACATCTTTCCGGCTGAGGCCCTCGGGAATCGGAATTATGTCCGTCTTCTCAAGAGCACACTGCCACTCGTCGTCGGGCACAGTGTACTCATTATTGTCATTCCACATGACGTCAATACCGACCTTCTTCAGTCCAACGACACCATCATACCACCACTGGTAGCCAGCGTTACTGGTGAAATCCAGGTGACTTCCCTCTCCGCTCTCACCTCCACCAGCACTCCAAAGTCTCGTCACCGCAGTCTTTCCGGTAGCGGGGTCCTTGAAGAAGGCGCCGTCTTCGGACAACTTTTTGTACGCCGGGTGCGTGGCAAGCACATACGGCTTTACATTAGCCAGCAGGCGGAGACCGTGGGAGTGCGCCTCGCGGGTAAAGGCCCGCGGATCGGGGAAACGGTGGTAGTTCCAGGTAAAGACGTTGCGCGTCTTGGGCTCCTGCTCAGCTACAGTGTATCCAGAGCTCATCTGGAATGCAGAGAATGGGATGTCGTGCTTCTCGCAGTTCTTGATCCATCCCATGATGGCGTCGTGGGCACGCGGGGTGTCCATGGCACTATACTTCATGCCACCGCCAATGTAACCCATCATGTAACGCGGTACACGCAGGGGGAATCCAACGAGCTCAGCGTATGAGTGTACGACTTCGGCGACGGTCTTGCCGACAATGATGTACTCTTCAAGACCGCCATGAGATTGGCGATGCACTTTGTACGCACCCCACATGCCATCCAGCTCGGATCCGATGGACCAGGTCGAACGAGAGTGAGCTGTGGAGAAGATGCCGACAGCGCCCTCGGGCGTGACGTTGATAAGGAGCGGGATGTGCTTGTACAGCGGATCCGTGCGGTAGGCGTCGTATCCGAATGTGTCACTTGCGGAGATGATGAAGCCGCGGCCGGCGAGGTCCATGGGCGCCGCCTTCTCTCCAAGTCCGACATGGAGAGTATGCTTCTTGTAAGAGGAGTAGTGGGCGATACCGGGCCCGTCCGCGGCGTATGAGCGGAAGGGGAGATCGGCGTGGATGGGCTTGCCGGAGTCATCTTGGCCGACGTAGAGGGAGATGATAGGGGTGTTTGACCATTCAACGACAGCCTTAACGTCGGAGGTTGTGAATGATTGTGACTTTTCTGATGTCTTGATCTGGATGTCTTTCGGGGCCAGGTCCGCGCTTGGCTTATGTGCGCTGGGGAAAGGGGGGATAGGGCGCGTCTCAGACGTGACGGTTGTGCGGAAGACATTTGACCTCACGATCTCGAATGTGAAGGTGAAGTCCTCGGGATGGCCTTCTGAGGACTTGAGTTGTATGGACGATGCAGCAGCAGCACCCTTGACCTCTTGAGGCGCATAGCCGGTAGGAATCTTTTCGTTTTGGAGAAGCATCTTGAATTTCTTAATGCCGGCGCGAAACTCCCAACCTTCTTTGAGTTGAGGTGTTGGCCTGAGTTGGGTTCCGGGTGCCCTTCTTAGCACAATGAGGGGAAATGAGGGCGGAGCTGTGATGTTGCTTGTGTAGAGAATGAGAGGAGGGACCCTAATCTGTGGGAGAGCAGTGCAGACGAACGTATTCTTAAAGTTTGAGGCTTTCCGATGTCGCAGTATTTCTCACTTTTGGCTAAATGGAAGATATTTGACAGCTTTGTGTGCGCCTGATAATGCGAATTGCATCGTGAGAAGGACTCGGACTCGGCATCCGAGTCAAAGACTACAACATTAAACCCACTGACCTCGTGCAAATGGTGTCCCGAGTTACGTGTAGCCCAAGCATGTCATTGGAGAGTCGAGAACAGCGTTCCCCCGAAGCCACCCCGAAATCCACATCCCCCAGACGGGACCAAGGATATCGACGGGGAACAGCTGGATCATCGTTGTCATCTGAAGGCACGAGACCAATGAAGTTGTAGTATGCTGACTCGTGGTGGATTATCATTGCGGTGTCTCGTGTTAGAAGCCGACCCAAAAGTAGTTAGAAGCCGACATTGAAGCCGCCCCAAAAGAGGAAATACAACCGCCGAGCCGCTGCGGGGGACGGCAACAAGCCGGAAGAGAGTTGAGAGACGGACTTCTTGCGGCCAATGGACGGCGATGTCGGCCAACTTCCGAATTTGTTGCCGCGTAGTCGGTCCCAGTTCTCGTCTGATTGTCCTAGTCTCCTCCAGATGTTCTCAGCTCCTCTCTGCCGTTCAATAACTCCGCGTTGTCCCCCCGTCTCATCCTCCGCATTGTTCACGCGATTGATCTCGTAATCTGGAGACTCTGGGGCACAATCTGGGGCAGTTTGTTGCACCAATATTTCCGTCCTCCCCAATGTTCCCCCCCAACAAATCCCCAACTTCCCCCGCGCGGAGTATGATTTCGTCTCCATGTGTGGAGTTCAGCTAATGACCTCCACCCGGAGACGAGACAACCAAGCCTTTCAGCCACTCGTGATGCTTCAATCCTCGGGTTTCTCCCCGCTACTCGCCCTCGCAAAGTCTCCATCTCGTGTCTGTGACACGGCACTCGTTGGCCGCCCCCGTCTTGAGAGATGCGCGGAAGGCGTGGAGGTCCAGTGTTTGTAGCGCTGTGCTGTAGTCCGACGACGTAGTTCTACGCCCTGAAATATCCGAGTCAAGAGACGTGATGTACCACGTCAACCCGAGCCCATCATCCCAACAGTCACAGTAAGAAGTCGATCGAACAAAGCCTGGTGCCGTCGTATCAAAATTCAGTGTAATACGAAAAAGAAAAAGGCCAATGGGGGAATTGACCCTCAGCGTCATCTACGGAAACAAGCCTTTAGCGGCTCAAGGACGGCCTGCTAGCCACCTTGGCCAAGTTCCCCTGCCGTTATTACCAGAACCGTGTTCCGATGCCTGAAGGAAATCGCACTAACTACTAGCACCCTTGTCGAGCCCCCTTCTCGGCGACCGACTCGCAGCCAGTGTATCAGCCGACATGTTTTGGGACAAATGCCGCTCATATCTATAATCCCCGGGTTCTCTCTCCAATACCATGCATATTACTCTCATGTTCCATTGAAGTTCTGCGTTCTCGTCGTAACTTGCCTTCGCCCCTGAAGTGGAATCAGTCCATCACTTTGCAGCTAGAGACACTTTGCCAGAGAAGTCCCGTCAAC